TTTGAACAGATTCTTGAAGCATGCTTACTAACATGAACAGAATTAATTTTGAACAGATTCTTGAAGCATGCTTACTAACATGAACAGGATTAATTTTGAACAGATTCTTGAAGCATGCTTACTAACGTGAACAGGATTAATTTTGAACAGATTCTTGAAGCATGCTTACTAACATGAACAGGATTAATTTTGAACAGATTCTTGAAGTCTGCTAACTTACATGAACAGGATTAATTTTGAACAGATTCTTGAAGCATGCTTACTAATGTGAACAGGATTAATTTTGAACAAATTCTTGAAGCCTGCTAACTAACATGAACAGGATTAATTTTGAACAGATTCTTGAAGTCTGCTAACAAGCATGAACAGAATTAATTTTGAACAGACTCTTGAAGCCTGCTAACAGGATTAGCTTCAGAAGACTCAACATGATGTTAACATAACATTGATGTTAAATGATCTTTGAATATCTATATTGTACCTTTCATGGAACACATCATCATAGTCAACATATTGTCATTATGTAATATCATTTGTTCAATCAATAACTTTCTCCCTATTCTGTATATGCCTTTGTCCTCCCTCTCACTCTCCTAACATGGTGCTATATTTTGTATTTGTGTGTTAGTAGGACAGATATATGTGGTTTATAATGACCCAGTAAACATTTGTCAATAAACGGGACAGAAAAATCTTTTGGTAGCAAGCCCCTTTTAATGATGCTGTATGATGTTATTTACATGTTGATTCAAACCCTCAGTGCTGTTTTGAAGAAATAAACTGAATCATTGAGTTATATGCTTAGACACCTAAACACAATTAGATCATATATATAACAAAAAATGTGTAAATCTTTGTGTTAGTAACATTCCCAGATACATGTATGTATAATACATGACATTGTTATAACATTACAGTCTTATCTATAGTATATACTGTTCAATGATTACAGTGTAGGTATAAATTTGATGGTACACAATACACCTGTATATATACTAGTGTAGGTATAAATTTGATGGTACACAATACACCTGTATATATACTAGTGCAGGTATAAATTTGATGGTACACAATACACCTGTATATATACTGTTCAATGATTACAGTGTAGGTATAAATTTGATGGTACACAATACACCTGTATATATACTAGTGTAGGTATAAATTTGATGATACACAATACACCTGTATATATACTGTTCAATGATTACAGTGTAGGTATAAATTTGATGGTACACAATACACCTGTATATATACTAGTGTAGGTATAAATTTGATGATACACAATACACCTGTATATATACTAGTGCAGGTATAAATTTGATGGTACACAATACACCTGTATATATACTAGTGTAGGTATAAATTTGATGGTACACAATACACCTGTATATATACTAGTGTAGGTATAAATTTGATGGTACACAATACACCTGTATATATACTAGTGTAGGTATAAATTTGATGGTACACAATGCACCTGTATATATACTAGTGTAGGTATGAATCTGATGGTACACAATACACCTGTATATATACTAGTGTAGGTATAAATTTGATGGTACACAATACACCTGTATATATACTAGTGTAGGTATAAATTTGATGGTACACAATACACCTGTATATATACTAGTGTAGGTATAAATTTGATGATACACAATACACCTGTATATATACTAGTGTAGGTATAAATTTGATGGTACACAATACACCTGTATATATACTAGTGTAGGTATAAATTTGATGGTACACAATACACCTGTATATATACTGTTCAATGATTACAGTGTAGATATAAATTTGATGGTACACAATACATCTGTATATATACTAGTGTAGGTATAAATTTGATGATACACAATACACCTGTATATATACTAGTGTAGGTATAAATTTGATGATACACAATACACCTGTATATATACTAGTGTAGGTATAAATTTGATGGTACACAATACACCTGTATATATACTAGTGTAGGTATAAATTTGATGGTACACAATACACCTGTATATATACTAGTGTAGGTATAAATTTGATGGTACACAATACACCTGTATATATACTAGTGTAGGTATAAATTTGATGGTACACAATACACCTGTATATATACTGTTCAATGATTACAGTGTAGATATAAATTTGATGGTACACAATACACCTGTATATATACTAGTGTAGGTATAAATTTGATGGTACACAATACACCTGTATATATACTAGTGTAGGTATAAATTTGATGGTACACAATACACCTGTATATATACTAGTGTAGGTATAAATTTGATGGTACACAATACACCTGTATATATACTAGTGTAGGTATAAATTTGATGATACATGTATAAACAGTATAAAACATTAATTTATATCAAATACCTTTTACAAGTAAATATAAGAACATCCAAGTTATGTATAAGATTTTCGAAATGTCTTTCAGTAAAAATATATCATTTGTTTATACAACAATTTTCTATATACAAACATCTTATTGAAAACGATAATGCTAAATAGGTATTATAACACTTTTACTTGATGATTATCTGACCTCCTCTCTAATCCAGAATTGCCTCTATTGGGGCCAAATTCAGCCCCTTCAAATTCCGTCTTTACTAATCATAGCATACTCAGCTGTGATAAAGACCTCACCAAATTGGTCAGAACATCTAGTTCAAGGTGTACAGTTTAGAGCACTGTTGGTACTCATTGCCTGTCAAGCTTATCGCCATTCCGTCTGACAGAGGAAAGGGAAGTAACTCTTGGAGATCAGAATAAGTTCAGTAACTGTATATAAAGTAACATGATGACTGACTTATTTTTCTGTTCAATCTAAAAACTGAATAGACACAACTGGGGACTTCACAAATTTTCATTGGTATTATTTTGAAGGATCTATCTGGTAAAATTTAACTTCCCAGAAACCAACACAAAGACCCTATACAGCATCCATCCAGCACTCCTCAAGTGGTGACACCATAAAACTTTTTTTTCAAAATCCAAAATGGATACCTGTTGGCCATTTTGTTCCATTGATCAATCTCACAATTCAATAGGCACATCATATGGAAGACAAGAAACCTTCACAAATTCTAGAAACTCTAAGATACCAAGTTATTTCTGAGGAATAGAATTGTTTAACAAACAGACCCACTGCAGCCTTCTATCTGACTATGGCATTATGGACTAAAAACAAAACACAAAATATTAAACATATAAATCATGGTACTGGTATACCCTTCAAAAACCTCTTTTACCAATCAATATACCGGTATATAGATACAAATTATTGTCAGATCAAGCCGTTAGATACAGCCACATAGCATTGTACATTTGAATATAATTCTCAGAACATGTAAACACTGTATATTAATGACACATGTTTGGCATGATCATCCCATCATCATACACATCATTGCAATTACGTATCAACCTTTTCAAGGCTACATGTCAACAACTAATGAATACGTATTTGTGTTAGAATCAACCTATCACAATCAGGATTTTATGAAAACAATACTCTAAGACTGCCTCTTTCACTTTTCTGGCTTATCCTTGACCTCTATTATCCTTGCATGCTTTTGACCTTTTCGTTCCCCCTTTTCCTCCACTCTCAGCTTGTGACCTCCCCCATTTCAATAGCCTTTTTGGCCTATGCTGCATTGAATTCCCATCCTTTAACTGCCCCCCCCCCCCCCCCATCCCATCCCCACTCCTTACTCTTTTGGTGATCCTTTTTGGTGACCTTTGGCTATGACCTTGATACCCACCAACCTTTTGTCACTTTTTAACCTTCCTCTATCTTTTTCTAATCCATTTACAGTCATTTATGCTCCTCTTCTCATCCCTAACCTCTTCCTGACCCCAACCCCCAACCCCAACCCCCATCTTCTCCCTAACCCCAACCCCCATCTTCTCCCTATCCCTATCCTCTCCCCAACCCTAAACCCCATTTTCTCCCTACCCCTATCCTCTTTCCAACCCCAACCCCCATCTTCTCCCTACCCCTATCCTCTTCCCAACCCCAAACCCCATCTTCTCCCTACCCCTATCCTCTTTCCAACCCCAACCCCATCTTCTCCCTACCCCTATCCTCTTCCCAACCCCAACCCCCATCTCCTCCCTACCCCTATCCTCTTCCAAACCCCAACCCCCATCTTCTCCCTACCCCTATCCTCTTCCCAACCCCAAACCCCATCTTCTCCCTACCCCTATCCTCTTTCCAACCCCAACCCCATCTTCTCCCTACCCCTATCCTCTTCCCAACCCCAACCCCCATCTCCTCCCTACCCCTATCCTCTTCCAAACCCCAACCCCCATCTTCTCCCTACCCCTATCCTCTTCCCAACCCCAAACCCCATCTTCTCCCTACCCCTATCCTCTTCCCAACCCCAACCCCATTTTCTCCCTACCCCTATCCTCTTCCCAACCCCAACCCCCATCTCCTCCCTACCCCTATCCTCTTCCAAACCCCAACCCCCATCTTCTCCCTACCCATATCCTCTTCCCAACCCCAAACCCCATCTTCTCCCTACCCCTATCCTCTTTCAAACCCCAACCCCCATCTTCTCCCTACCACTATCATCTTCCCAACCCCAACCCCCATCTTCTCCCTACCCCTATCCTCTTCCAAACCCCATCTTCTCCTTTCCCAATTTTGTTTTTTTTCATATTGTACACATGCATCCTCTCATTCTTTCATGATTTCTCTCCCAAACTTTTTCTGGGTGTAAAGTCAGCAGCCTTATACCTGAAGTAACTGCTGGGATCTCAAAGGTAATGCTACAGTAACCCAGTATCATGATATCCACGTTGGTTACCAGCGATGTCACCAAGTATAATGATATCCACGTTAGTTACCATGTTGGTTACCAGTGATGTTACTCAGCATCATGATATCCACGTTGGTTACCACGTTGGTTACCAGTGATGTCACCCAGTATCATGATATCCACGTTGGTTACCAGCAATGTCACCCAGTATCATGATATCCACCTTGGTTACCAGTGATGTTACTCAGTATCAGATTTCTATGCATGCTTGCAACAATCTATAAATTCATCACATATTATCTATAGAATATAAGCTCTTAAGGGCATTCATTTTCATGTTCACATTTCTTTTTATCATACACTTGTGGTCACACCATGTCCATTTGTTGAATAACACTATCAAACTTCTCCCCTAGTTCTAGATCTTTGGTTTCTCTCTCTTCATCCAGGTCTGATATTATCTGTTGTAAAAAAAAAAGTTAAACTTTAACAAGTGAGGGATGACAGTATAGGATTCAGACAGGCTCGTTCTGTGGTAACCAAAGATTAATGACAGTATAGGATTCAGACAGGCTCCTTCTGTGGTAACCAAAGATTAATGACAGTATAGGATTCAGACAGGCTCCTTCTGTGGTAACCAAAGATTAATGACAGTATAGGATTCAGACAGGCTCCTTCTGTGGTAACCAAAGATTAATGACAGTATAGGATTCAGACAGGCTCCTTCTGTGGTAACCAAAGATTAATGACAGTATAGGATTCAGACAGGCTCCTTCTGTGGTAACCAAAGATTAATGACAGTATAGGATTCAGACAGGCTCCTTCTGTGGTAACCAAAGATTAATGACAGTATAGGATTCAGACAGGCTCCTTCTGTGGTAACCAAAGATTAATGACAGGTGTCTTTCTCTCATTATAGTTCTTACTCTTTAATGAAGTTTGTGATGTGATGACTCTGTACATATATTTGTAAGATCTCTATATCAAAATTACGTAGAAATTACTTTAAAGGAACTTACTGGTATGCTATGCATTAGAAAAATTTCAGATGAAAGTAATTCACATATATAAAACAATATTTCAAGGAAAAGACATATTTAAGAATCCAGATAAGACAGTATATCTTATTTAAAGACATATTCTAGAATACAGATGTGATAGTATATTTACATGATCTCTGTTTATGAATTTCCCCAAATAACTGCATTCTATGTCTCTCAAACGATCAGTGAGAAAGTGTCAATCTCTAGATCCAGTCTTCCGTAAAGACTTCCTGCATTTAACCCAAAGCCTCTCTAAAAAAGGCAACCTTTATAGAAAAATATCTGCCTTTAAAGGTCACCTGTATGTGACAAATACAGGTCTAAAACGATCACCTATATATCAGGAATACCTGTCTATAAGGGTCACATGTATATAACTGATACTTGTCTATAAAGACCACCTGTATGTAACAAATACTACCCTGTATAACAGGTACCTGTCTATAAAGACCACAAGTATGTAACAAATACTACCCTGTATAACATGTACCTGTCTATAAAGACCACCTGAATGTAATAAATACTACCATGTATAACAGGTACCTGTCTATAAAGACCACCTGTATGTAATAAATACTACCCTGTATAACAGGTACCTGTCTATAAAGACCACCTGTATGTAACAAATACTACCCTGTATAACAGGTACCTGTCTATAAAGACCACCTGTATGTAATAAATACTAACCTGTATAACAGGTACCTGTCTATAAAGACCACCTGTATGCAACAAATACTACCCTGTATAACAGGTACCTGGCTATAAAGATCACTAGTTTCAGGCTCCTTAGATGCAATGCAATTCTTATCAATTAAAAAGGTCACCTTTCTCAAGGACTACTCTTTGTTTTGCCAGTGGATGGTCTTAATGGACAGGTTTGATGATAGCTAATAGTGGTGGGGTTTAGCGTGTAAACTTACCTAAGACAATTACAACGGTGTTTGTTGACACAAAAATCTGCGACAACAATTAATATAGCTCATACAAATGTTTATATATGTATGATACTTTGTATGAAATGAGAACGTTTCATATCTTAATGATAATTACCTCATCAGAATATTTCTTAACCATGGAAAAAAGCTTCTTCAATGCAGGCAGTTTCTTCACTCTGATTCCCTGAGTCTGTTCCTGTAGAAAAAAAACCAAGAGTGCTTTTGACTTGTGATGGTGTTAAATTTCAGACTTTAGTGGTGTTACTTGAATTAGTCACAAAACTCAGTAATGCCTGATGCTTTGATCAGTCATGTGAGGTTACAACCAATCAGAACTTTGTCCTATACATGACAGACTTACCTGAGATATGGACTGCATCAGAGAATCAAACTGTTGTTTTGTCACAGGTTCACAACTCACACTTAGTTTCTCATAAAACTTTCTCATCTTCTCCTGGAACTTTGGAACATCATTGGCAAACAAAAGTTTGGCTGAGGAAGAATCCTGCAATACAACATAACATTGAACATCATAATCCTGAAGAATTATCTGACTTTCAGACAGAAAAGTCATAACGCAACTAAGGCAGTGTACTATCAATTTAATATGATGTTAAATAATGTTGAAATGATGTTAACATTAAAGCTTAGAATAAACACTTCATTGCTGACAGTATGTAAAAGGTTTGTTGGAGATTCGGATTGATCTACATTGATAAGTTTGGAAAAGGTCTGAAATGTTTGAATGACCTACTTTGGTGAGTGGAATAACTTTAATTAACCTTCATCTTGGTGAGTTTCCAAAAGAATGAAGTGACTAACTTTATTATTAAGTTTGGAACATGTTTAAGTAACCTAATTTACTAATTTTGGGAGAGGTTGAAGTGACCTACTTTAGTAAGACTGGAAGAGGTTGAAGTGACCTGCTTTAGTAAGAGTGGAAGAGGTTGAAGTGACCTACTTAAATAAGACTGGATGAGGTTGAAGTGACCTACTTTAGTAAGACTGGAGGAGGTTGAAGTGACCTACTTTAGTAAGACTGGAGAAGGTTGAAGAGACCTACTTTAGTAAAACTAGAAAAGGTTGAAGTAACCTACTTTAGCAAGAGTGGAAGAGGTTGAAGTGACCTACTTTAGTAAGACTACAAGATGTTGAAGTGACCTACTTTAGTAAGACTACAAGAAGTTGAAGAGACCTACTTTAGTAAGACTACAAGATGTTGAAGTGACCTACTTTAGTAAGACTAGAAAAGGTTGAAGTAACCTACTTTAGCAAGAGTGGAAGAGGTTGAAGTGACCTACTTTAGTAAGACTACAAGATGTTGAAGTGACCTACTTTAGTAAGACTAGAAGAAGTTGAAGTGACCTACTTTAGTAAGACTAGAAAAGGTTGAAGTAACCTACTTTAGCAAGATTGGAAGAGGTTGAATTGACCTCATTTATGAGTTTGGTAAAAGTTTAAGTGACCAAATGTACTTTAGTGAGTTTGGAAAAGGTTGATATGGTTTACATAATCTACTTTAGTGAGTTTGGAAAAGGTTGATATGGTTTACATAATCTACTTTAGTGAGTTTGGAAAAGGTTGATATGGTTTACATAATCTACTTTAGTGAGTTTGGAAAAGGTTGATATGGTTTACATAATCTACTTTAGTGAGTTTGGAAAAGGTTGATATGGTTTACATAATCTACTTTAGTGAGTTTGGAAAAGGTTGATATGGTTTACATAATCTACTTTAGTGAGTTTGGAAAAGGTTGATATGGTTTACATAATCTACTTTAGTGAGTTTGTAAAAGGTTGATATGGTTTACATAATCTACTTTAGTGAGTTTGGAAATGGCTGAACTTGTTTGCATGACTTTCTTTTCTGAGTGAAATAGAATTAAGTGACCTACTTGTGTTAATTTGAAAGAGGATAAAATTGTTTGAACAACCTACCTTGGTGAGTCTGGAAGAGGTTTGGGAGAAGACATCACTAAAGACAGATCTGACAACATCCAGACAGGGTATGACATGCTTTGCCAGGACAATGTCAAACAGGAGATCTGGACGGCTGATCCATAACGACCAAATCCTCATCGCATAACTGTAAACAAAACATTGTTAACTCAAATAAAATATACTACAGTCTTTTCTCATTGCAAACCCAGAAACGTATCAATATTGTATGCATTTATCACATAAAATATTCATATGTTAAACAATTTGAAGTACACCACGCTGGTGTTACTCAATTTGTGTAATAAACTTGTTGCAATAAATTTATTGTTCAATAAAACTTGAAAAGTATTGATAAAGAGATTTAGACCTACTGACAAAGTCTGATACAGACTGATTGATATACAGACCTGTTGACAAAGTCTGATACAGACTGACTGATATAGACACAGACCTACCCACGAAGTCTGATACAGACTGATTGATATAGACACAGGCCTACTGACAAAGTCTGATACAGGCTGATTGATATAGACACAGACCTACTGACAAAGTCTGATACAGGCTGATTGATATAGACACAGACCTACTGACAAAGTCTGATACAGACTGATTGATATAGACACGGACCTACTGACAAAGTCTGATACAGACTGACTGATATAGACACAGATTCTCACAAACTCTTGCTCCAAGGAAAGTCCGTTAAACACACCCCAAGGTTAGGTCATGATGATGTGACATTACCATGTAAAATTAAGAGATTTTTTGAAGAAATGTTAACCACAAGACCAACAGAAGTGTTCTTAGCCATGCTTTTAGTATGGAATGTCAGCTGAGTGTTCAATATTACAATGTTAAAAACAGTGTAAGAAAAAAATCATCAAACATCTTTGTTTTATACTTAGGAAAGACTATGGCAATTAAAGATTTCAGCAAGCCTTATTTTGTGTTGAATTAATCCTGCGTAGGAGATGTATTCACCATTCACTTTTCCAGTGGGTAACAATGTCTGGGTCAACACCATGTTCCTTTGCCATTTCCTCCAACATTTTAAAAAAGTAGCAGATCACTGGTGGTACACGGTTATCATCCAACACATTCTCAAAGATTGCATTTATGTAGTCTGCCAGCTTCAACTGCAACATCCAATATATTAACAATCTTGAACATTTGTTCTACCATTATTATAATCCCATGTACTCTCTAGAACAGAGTGCCAGGAAAGAAATGATATTTCAATGATTGAAAACAGATACTTAACTAACAGATCATTTCAAGTCTAGAAATGTTTATAGGATTTGTAAGTTTCAAGTAATGCCTATATGTTAATGTCAAATCTCAAGTCCAGAAACCTCAAACTGTCAAAGCCCATGTCTAGAGATGTCAAACTGTCAATTCTTCAGTCCAGAAATCTCAGACTGTCAAAGCCCATGTCTAGAGATATCAAACTGTCAATTCTTCAGTCCAGAAATTTCAAACTGTCAAAGCCCATGTCTAGAGATGTCAAACTGTCAATTCTTCAGTCCAGAAATCTCAGACTGTCAAAGCCCATGTCTAGAGATATCAAACTGTCAATTCTTCAGTCCAGAAATCTCAGACTGTCAAAGCCCATGTCTAGAGATATCAAACTGTCAATTCTTCAGTCCAGAAACCTCAAACTGTCAAAGCCCATGTCTAGAGATGTCAAACTGTCAATTCTTCAGTCCAGAAATCTCAGACTGTCAAAGCCCATGTCTAGAGATATCAAACTGTCAATTCTTCAGTCCAGAAACCTCAAACTGTCAAAGCCCATGTCTAGAGATGTCAAACTGTCAATTCTTCAGTCCAGAAATCTCAGACTGTCAAAGCCCATGTCTAGAGATATCAAACTGTCAATTCTTCAGTCCAGAAATCTCAGATTGTCAAAGCCCATGTCTAGAGATATCAAACTGTCAATTCTTCAGTCCAGAAACCTCAAACTGTCAAAGCCCATGTCTAGAGATGTCAAACTGTCAATTCTTCAGTCCAGAAATCTCAGACTGTCAAAGCCCATGTCTAGAGATATCAAACTGTCAATTCTTCAGTCCAGAAATTTCAAACTGTCAAAGCCCATGTCTAGAGATGTCAAACTGTCAATTCTTCAGTCCAGAAATCTCAGACTGTCAAAGCCCATGTCTAGAGATATCAAACTGTCAATTCTTCAGTCCAGAAATCTCAGACTGTCAAAGCCCATGTCTAGAGATATCAAACTGTCAATTCTTCAGTCCAGAAACCTCAAACTGTCAAAGCCCATGTCTAGAGATGTCAAACTGTCAATTCTTCAGTCCAGAAATCTCAGACTGTCAAAGCCCATGTCTAGAGATATCAAACTGTCAATTCTTCAGTCCAGAAACCTCAAACTGTCAAAGCCCATGTCTAGAGATGTCAAACTGTCAATTCTTCAGTCCAGAAATCTCAGACTGTCAAAGCCCATGTCTAGAGATATCAAACTGTCAATTCTTCAGTCCAGAAATCTCAGACTGTCAAAGCCCATGTCTAGAGATATCAAACTGTCAATTCTTCAGTCCAGAAACTTCAAACTGTCAAAGCCCATGTCTAGAGATGTCAAACTGTCAATTCTTCAGTCCAGAAATCTCAGACTGTCAAAGCCCATGTCTAGAGATATCAAACTGTCAATTCTTCAGTCCAGAAACCTCAAACTGTCAAAGCCCATGTCTAGAGATGTCAAACTGTCAATTCTTCAGTCCAGAAATCTCAGACTGTCAAAGCCCATGTCTAGAGATATCAAACTGTCAATTCTTCAGTCCAGAAACCTCAAACTGTCAAAGCCCATGTCTAGAGATGTCAAACTGTCAATTCTTCAGTCCAGAAATCTCAGACTGTCAAAGCCCATGTCTAGAGATGTCAAACTGTCAATTCTTCAGTCCAGAAATCTCAAACTGTCAAATCTCAAGTCTAGAGATGTCAAATTGTCAATTCTTCAGTCCAGAAATCTCAAACTGTCAATTCTCAAGTCTAGAGATGTCAAACTGTCAATTCTTCAGTCCAGAAATCTCAGACTGTCAAAGCCCATGTCTAGAGATGTCAAACTGTCAATTCTTCAGTCCAGAAACCTCAAACTGTCAAAGCCCATGTCTAGAGATGTCAAACTGTCAATTCTTCAGTCCAGAAATCTCAAACTGTCAAATCTCAAGTCTAGAGATGTCAAACTGTCAATTCTTCAGTCCAGAAATCTCAAACTGTCAAAGCCCAAGTCCAGAAATCTCAGACTGTCAAAGCCCATGTCTAGAGATGTCAAACTGTCAATTCTTCAGTCCAGAAATGTCTCTCAATGTGACTTCTTCAGTCCAGAAAAGTCGATAGGGTGTCAAGTCTCAAGTATTGGCTAAATATTATTTCTTAATGTCAATTCTGCAATCCAGGAAGGTTTAAATTGGGAGTCCAGATATGTCTAAGTGACGTTCACCGTGTTTTTACCTTGGTTTGTATAAGCCTGTTCAGGTACAGTTCTTCAATGTGAATGTGAGTCCCCCTGCCTTCCTTTTCATCTTCCTCTGGAAATGACTGGTGCATATAAAAAAAATTATTAACAGCCACAGGGGTAAACGTACCAAAAATTGTAATTGATTCTCTAAAGATGTACTTCCTTTCAGAATAAAAAGGATAAAAACTGCAGTATTAAATCTCAACGCTGGTGAAGATTTTTTGGAAAGAGTAGAATGAAGGAAACATATAGAAGTAAAAATAAAACAATATGTTCGAACACTTGTTTTATGGGTGTCAGAATAGGTGTATCTGGAAACTAGAACTAGGTCAGCCAGGGGCCTGTTATGTGGGTGGGAATCAGACTTTTTTATTTATAATAACAGTGACGTTGATCTTAGAACTTCGGAATATAAAAAGCAATATCCCAAGCAAGCACTTTAGGTAAGGAAGCATTATATGGAGTTTGATTTAGATTGGGCAATGCAAACTCAAGTTACCACACAACATCTGATTCTAGCTTATAGTTACAGTGATCTTTGACAAACTATTTAATACGCAAGTTCATTAAATTATTCAAATTTTTTTTCACTTATACATACGTCAGATTTTTCATTATAATTTAAATGCCAGAATGAGACCAGCTTTGACCTTTGGACCCAAATGGCAATCTATCTCAAACAAGCACTTTTGGTTTAGAGGCATTGCATCAAGTTTGAGTAAGACTTGCTACAGCAAACTCGAGCTATTCCACAAAATGGATTTTCCATTATAGTAACAATAACCTACACTTTTGAGTTCTGGGCCTAAAAAGTAATCCCTAGCAAGCAGTATGAGAGCACTGTAGGAATTTTGAGCATGAGGGGACCGTTGAGGGGGGGGGGGGGCTAATAATTCAATTTCACTTACATTGCAATCATTGTTACTTTTGGGTATTAAATAAATGATAATGTGAATAAGCTTGAAATTGTAAAGCACCAAAAAATGAATATTGAAAAAATCAACAGGAGAAGTAAGTATCTTAGCTACAAGGAAAAGTTGTAATTGTTCATAACAAATCATATCATCACGTATGCCATCAAAAACTTCACAAGTGATATTTCTTCAAAATGTCATCAATCACATTTTTTCAGCAAATAAATAAAACAAAAGATAAACAAGTCTATAGATATAAAGTCTAAAAAGATAAACAAGTCTATAGATATAAAGTCTATAAAGATATAAAGTCTATCAAGATAAACAAGTCTAAAAAGATAAACAAGTCTCAAAAGATAAACAAGTCTATAAAGATATACAAGTCTAAAAAGATATAAAGTCTATCAAATAAACAAGTCTATAAAGATATAAAGTCTATAAAGATAAACAAGTCTATAAAGATATAAAGTCTATAAAGATAAACAAGTCTATAAAGATAAACAAGTCTATAAAGATATAAAGTCTAAAAAGATATAAAGTCTATAAAGATATAAAGTCTAAAAAGATATAAAGTCTATAAAGATATAAAGTCTAAAAAGATATAAAGTCTATAAAGATATAAAGTCTATAAAGATAAACAAGTCTATAAAGATAAACAAGTCTATAAAGATATAAAGTCTAAAAAGATATAAAGTCTATAAAGATATAAAGTCTATAAAGATATAAAGTCTATAAAGATATAAAGTCTAAAAAGATATAAAGTCTATAAAGATATAAAGTCTATAAAGATAAACAAGTCTAAAAAGATATAAAGTCTATCAAGATAAACAAGTCTATAAAGATAAACAAGTCTATAAAGATATAAAGTCTATAAAGATAAACAAGTCTAAAAAGATAAACAAGTCTAAAAAGATATAACGTCTATAAAGATAAACAAGTCTATAAAGATATAAAGTCTAAAAAGATAAAAGTCTATAAAGATATAAAGTCTATAAAGATATAAAGTCTATAAAGATAAACAAGTCTATAAAGATAAACAAGTCTATAAAGATATAAAGTCTAAAAAGATATAAAGTCTAAAAAGATATAAAGTCTATAAAGATAAACAAGTCTATAAAGATATAAAGTCTAAAAAGATATAAAGTCTAAAAAGATATAAAGTCTATAAAGATATAAAGTCTAAAAAGATAAACAAGTCTATAAAGATATAAAGTCTAAAAAGATATAAAGTCTAAAAAGATATAAAGTCTATAAAGATATACAAGTCTATAAAGATATAAAGTCTAAAAAGATATAAAGTCTATAAAGATATAAAGTCTAAAAAGATATAAAGTCTATAAAGATATAAAGTCTATAAAGATATAAAGTCTATAAGATAAATAAGTCTATAAAGATATAAAGTCTATAAAGATAAAAAAGTCTATAAAGATATAAAGTCTATAAAGATAAAAAAGTCTATAAAGATATAAAGTCTATAAAGATAAACAAGTATAAAAAGATATAAAGTCTATAAAGATAAACAAGTCTATAAAGATATAAAGTCTAAAAAGATATAAAGTCTAAAAAGATATCAATATCAATTGATATATAACTGGGACCTACAGGATCACTGATATCTGACTTAGAGGATCATTGATGTCTGAGACCTACAGGATCACTGATGTCTGACCTACAGGATCACTAATATTTGAGACCTACAGGATCACTGATGTCTGACCTACAGGATCACTGATGTCTGAGACCTACAGGATCACTGATGTCTGACCTACAGGATCACTGATGTCTGAGACCTACAGGATTACTGATGTCTGATACCTACAGGATCACTGATGTCTGACCTATTGGATCACTAATATCCGAGACCTACAGGATCACTGATGTCTGAGACCTACAGGATCACTAATATTTGAGACCTACAGGATCACTGATGTCTGACCTACAGGATCACTGATGTCTGAGACCTACAGGATCACTGATGTCTGACCTACAGGATCACTAATATCTGAGACCTACAGGATCACTGATGTCTGACCTACAGGATCACTGATGTCTGAGACCTACAGGATCACTGATGTCTGAGACCTACAGGATCACTGATGTCTGAGACCTACAGGATCACTGATGTCTGACCTACAGGATCACTGATGTCTGAGACCTACAGGATCACTGATGTCTGAGACCTACAGGATCACTGATGTCTGATACCTACAGGATCACTGATGTCTGACCTATTGGATCACTAATATCCGAGACCTACAGGATCACTGATGTCTGAGACCTACAGGATCACTAATATTTGAGACCTACAGGATCACTGATGTCTGACCTACAGGATCACTGATGTCTGAGACCTACAGGATCACTGATGTCTGACCTACAGGATCACTGATGTCTGAGACCTACAGGATCACTGATGTCTGAGACCTACAGGATCACTGATGTCTGACCTACAGGATCACTGATGTCTGAGACCTACAGGATCACTGATGTCTGAGACCTACAGGATCACTGATGTCTGAGACCTACAGGATCACTGATGTCTGACCTACAGGATCACTGATGTCTGAGACCTACAGGATCACTGATGTCTGAGACCTACAGGATCACTGATGTCTGATACCTACAGGATCACTGATGTCTGACCTATTGGATCACTAATATCCGAGACCTACAGGATCACTGATGTCTGAGACCTACAGGATCACTAATATTTGAGACCTACAGGATCACTGATGTCTGACCTACAGGATCACTGATGTCTGAGACCTACAGGATCACTGATGTCTGACCTACAGGATCACTGATGTCTGAGACCTACAGGATCACTGATGTCTGAGACCTACAGGATCACTGATGTCTGATACCTACAGGATCACTGATGTCTGACCTATTGGATCACTAATATCCGAGACCTACAGGATCACTGATGTCTGAGACCTACAGGATCACTAATATTTGAGACCTACAGGATCACTGATGTCTGACCTACAGGATCACTGATGTCTGAGACCTACAGGATCACTGATGTCTGACCTACAGGATCACTGATGTCTGAGACCTACAGGATCACTGATGTCTGAGACCTACAGGATCACTGATGTCTGACCTACAGGATCACTGATGTCTGACCTATTGGATCACTAATATCCGAGACCTACAGGATCACTGATGTCTGACCTACAGGATCACTGATGTCTGAGACCTACAGGATCACTGATGTCTGAGACCTACAGGATCACTGATGTCTGAGACCTACAGGATCACTGATGTCTGAGACCTACAGGATCACTGATGTCTGACCTACAGGATCACTGATGTCTGAGACCTACAGGATCACTGATGTCTGAGACCTGATAGCTAAAGAATTATATCTTTACTTATCATTACTTACAATATGCCACTGTTTCTCTGCGGTCCAGCTTTTGTAACTGGTGACACTCTGGTCACTCAACAGCATGTCATTCATTGAAACTGACTCTGAATTCACTGTGTAGGAAAGATGATAATTAGGGCTATATTAAGAATGAAAGCTAATCTGGGGGTTCACCAAGAATTCAAGGTAACTACAATTTTAATCAAGATCTATAGGTTTGTCCATTAGAGTTCAATCAAGAGAAACAATGTTACTTGGATTAAATCAAGCATTACATACTAGTAATTACGGTAAAACAAAATGGTACTGTTGTTGAAGGTCATGAGACAATAACAGCTAGAGAAAACATAAAGCACCACATACAAAGTAATCTTGACTACCTGCAGTATGCTAACGTTATCACAAAAATCAAATCCATGAAATAACAAGACAGGAGACTATAACATGTCCTTCATATCAACATCACAAGATTTAAATTTGTTAAAATATCATTTTGAAAGAAAATCTCAAAAAATTTGATCTGTGAAAATATCTAGCTCTATGGTAACTAGATATAATCCTAAATCACTAAATATTCTATTGAAAATGTGTCAATGACAGCTGATTCTACTCCTGTTACCAAGGACATGCCTTTAACAGGTGTGAGATTTCCTGTCCCAACCGATGGATATTGAGACAGAGAGGGATTCTCCTTTCAATAAAATGAAATAAACACTCACCTAAGAAGGTCAGCAGGGTTTGAAAAAAATAATCACTAACAACCGTTTTGGTGAGATGGGGGATCTCATCTTTGCTAAATTAATAATCTTTTCCCTTTTGTGGAGATCGTTTTGGTGAGATGGGGGATCTCATCTTTGCTAAATTAATAATCTTTTCCCTTTTGTGGAGATCGTCTTGGTGAGATGGGGGATCTCATCTTTGCTAAATTAATAATCTTTTCCCTTTTGTGGAGATCGTCTTGGTGAGATGGGGGATCTCATCTTTGCTAAATTAATAATCTTTTCCCTTTTGTGCTAAATTAATAATCTTTTCCCTTTTGTGGAGATGTCTTGGTGAGATGGGGGATCTCATCTTTGCTAAATTAATAATCTTTTCCCTTTTGTGGAGATCGTCTTGGTGAGATGGGGGATCTCATCTTTGCTAAATTAATAATCTTTTCCCTTTTGTGGAGATCGTCTTGGTGAGATGGGGGATCTCATCTTTGCTAAATTAATAATCTTTTCCCTTTTGTGGAGATCGTCTTGGTGAGATGGGGGATCTCATCTTTGCTAAATTAATAATCTTTTCCCTTTTGTGGAGATCGTCTTGGTGAGATGGGGGATCTCATCTTTGCTAAATTAATAATCTTTTCCCTTTTGTGGAGATCGTCTTGGTGAGATGGGGGATCTCATCTTTGCTAAATTAATAATCTTTTCCCTTTTGTGGAGATCGTTTTGGTGAGATGGGGGATCTCATCTTTGCTAAATTAATAATCTTTTCCCTTTTGTGGAGATCGTCTTGGTGAGATGGGGGATCTCATCTTTGCTAAATTAATAATCTTTTCCCTTTTGTGGAGATCGTCTTGGTGAGATGGGGGATCTCATCTTTGCTAAATTAATAATCTTTTCCCTTTTGTGGAGATCGTTTTGGTGAGATGGGGGATCTCATCTTTGCTAAATTAATAATCTTTTCCCTTTTGTGGAGATCGTCTTGGTGAGATGGGGGATCTCATCTTTGCTAAATTAATAATCTTTTCCCTTTTGTGGAGATCGTTTTGGTGAGATGGGGGATCTCATCTTTGCTAAATTAATAATCTTTTCCCTTTTGTGGAGATCGTTTTGGTGAGATGGGGGATCTCATCTTTGCTAAATTAATAATCTTTTCCCTTTTGTGGAGATCGTTTTGGTGAGATGGGGGATCTCATCTTTGCTAAATTAATAATCTTTTCCCTTTTGTGGAGATCGTTTTGGTGAGATGGGGGATCTCATCTTTGCTAAATTAATAATCTTTTCCCTTTTGTGGAGATCGTTTTGGTGAGATGGGGGATCTCATCTTTGCTAAATTAATAATCTTTTCCCTTTTGTGGAGATCACTTATCTCATCCCCAAGGGGTTAAAAGATCCTATTAATCGAATGAACACAAAAGCCTATAAAGTACTGTACAATATTTTCAAGGGGATCAATTTTTACGGTTTTACAAAACATGGCTGTTTTGTGGACACCTGATTTTTTGGACCACCATTTTGTGGACCACCATTTCACACTTACTGTAGACATCAGGATCCTCTGGGTCGTCAGAAATCAGAAGGGCCATACAACTGCCATCTTTTACATTGTAGTGACGGAGAGTGTTGTGACACACGTATCCCTCGCGTTTCATACTCGTCCGATCTATGTCATTCAGTACCAGTTTACCGCCCTTCCCAGCATGCCACTCTGAAAAGGATATTTTTTATTCCATTTTAAACACATAGCTTTAGCGGAATCATGTATTATGAAAAAAATTAATAATAACAAGACGGCCATAGGGCTTTATCTTCACTCACCTGGTTTAGTTTGTTGTAATTGATGAGTTTAAACAATTAGGCCTAACCTGTCCTCCCGAGGAAGACAAAATCAAGGTATACATACAGAAGGCAGATTTTAAGGAATTTGCTCTATTTCCCCTATTTGGCACCACCCTTTTCCCTCTTAAGGGAGTGGAGACTCATTGTTTATAATAAAAACTCCATGGACTCCTACAGAAGGAGTAGATTTTACAGAGTTTGATCTTTTTCTCTATTTTGGAGCCTCCCACCCTGGGGGCTGAAACCCAATATTTATACTCATTTCCCATCATCTAAGCAGGCTTCCGACCAAATTTTAAAGAAATTGATAATTTTTTTCCCTTCGGGCCCTGGGCCCCACCCCTCTCATTTAAAATGATACTTTGTTTCATGTGGTGATGAGTGAAGATGAAGAAGTCCAAACGCTGTTCGGGTGTTGAAGGTTTATTCAGATGCAGGCTATGGAGAGACGGAACACTCACATGCCTTCAGGAATCGATACAAACTGGCTAGAAAAGTGGTTGTATTTATACTAGTCATGTTAATGAACTGATAATGTACTATTACCCATTACCTAACAGGTAACTTAGGATAGTGTAATATATGAGTTATGGGCATGGTCTTACACATAAATCACAATAGATTACACTGACCTTCATACAGACTGCTTGGATAGGCTTCAGGTAATGACTTATATAAACAGGGAATGAATTAATACATGAACGTGTGTAGTAGATCAGTAACGACAGAATGCCTAAATTAACAAAGGCAGATACATTATGATGAACATCTGACTTATGTCTTGCAAAATTTTGAATAATTTAATCTTACATATTAACTTTTAATACTTCAAATTCAAGGGGGATTAGACCCGCCCTTTTTACAAAACTGATCTCTCAATGCTTAAGTATGCTTCAGACCAAACATAACAATATCCTACTTTTCCTGACGAACAAAACAGATTCTAAAGAACATCGGTAGAATTTCCCTATGGTACCCTGCCCTTTAGGCCCAAGGGGGCCCAGACCCACCATCTATATATTTTTTTTTTCTTTCCCCAAGGATGCTTCAGGGCAAATTTGGTTAAAATCCTCTTAGTCCTTCATGACTAGAAGCAATTTAAAGGAAAAGTTGACAGACGCTGGTCACCACAATATCTCTATAACTCAACCAGCCCTTTGTTGGGCCAGGTGAGCTAACCAGCCCTTTGTTGGGCCAGGTGAGCTAACCAGCCCTTTGTTGGGCCAGGTGAGCCTGTCTATAAAGATCTTATCTCTAATCTCAGACCTCAGTTGGATAATCAACAAATAACCTTAATCATAGTTTCAAATGATAAACTGTTGAATGAAACAAATTTACATAACTGTTTGATCAACTTTGTTTCAAATCAACTCTAAAGGTTATGCATCTTTCACATAACATCCTTGTACAACTGGTCTGATATAATGCAATACTCAACATGTTGTCCCATGTTACTTACAGAAGACAAGCTCCTAAGGTGTGAAGAACAGGAAAGACAAGCTTGATTCTACAGATTTCGATGCTGCAGAGAGGTTTTATGTGTAAATCTGGAGCTTGCACGTTTCTGTACAGACTTTGAACCATATTTTGATTTGACAAGGATTTACTAGAGACAATGTATAATTTCATGTTAGCTTACCAAGTAGGAGTTCCTCAGGTGTAAACTAACAGTTCTAATATGACCTGTGTGTGACAAAACTTACCAAAATGAGCTCCTCAGGTGTGAACTGTCAACTTGTTTGACCTGTATAGGACAAAACTTACCGAGAATGAGCTCCTCAGGTGTGAACTGTCAACTTGTTTGACCTGTATAGGACAAAACTTACCGAGAATGAGCTCCTCAGGTGCGAACTGTCAACTTGTTTGACCTGTATAGGACAAAACTTACCGAGAATGAGCTCCTCAGGTGTGAACTGTAACTCTGAAGCTGGCTTGTTCTTGTAGATTCTGTACATACATTTGGCCTTGACCTGTGTGATGGTGTCACAGTCTAGCACAGTGACCTGGTAGCGATGGCTCTTTTTACCATTTAAGTCCACTTCCAATGTCTGAAGATTACATTATTAAAATTTTAACAAATCCACCTCCAATGTCTGAAGATTACATGATCAAGATTTTAACAAATCCACCTCCAATGTCTGAAGATTACATTATTAAAATTTTAACAAATCCACCTCCAATGTCTGAAGATTACATTATTAAAATTTTAACAAATCCACCTCCAATGTCTGAAGATTACATTATTAAAATTTTAACAAATCCACCTCCAATGTCTGAAGATTACATTATTAAAATTTTAACAAATCCACCTCCAATGTCTGAAGATTACATTATTAAAATTTTAACAAATCCACCTCCAATGTCTGAAGATTACATTATTAAAATTTTAACAAATCCACCTCCAATGTCTGAAGATTACATGATCAAGATTTTAACAAATCCACTTCCAATGTCTGAAGATTACATGATCATGATCAAGATTTTAACAAATCCACCTCCAATGTCTGAAGATTACATGATCAAGATTTTAACAAATCCACCTCCAATGTCTGAAGATTACATTATTAAAATTTTAACAAATCCACCTCCAATGTCTGAAGATTACATTATTAAAATTTTAACAAATCCACCTCCAATGTCTGAAGATTACATGATCAAGATTTTAACAAATCCACCTCCAATGTCTGAAGATTACATTATTAAAATTTTAACAAATCCACCTCCAATGTCTGAAGATTACATTATTAAAATTTTAACAAATCCACCTCCAATGTCTGAAGATTACATGATCAAGATTTTAACAAATCCACCTCCAATGTCTGAAGATTACATTATTAAAATTTTAACAAATCCACCTCCAATGTCTGAAGATTACATTATTAAAATTTTAACAAATCCACCTCCAATGTCTGAAGATTACATATCAAGATTTTAACAAATCCACCTCCAATGTCTGAAGATTACATTATTAAAATTTTAACAAATCCACCTCCAATGTCTGAAGATTACATGATCAAGATTCTAACAAATCCACCTCCAATGTCTGAAGATTACATGATCAAGATTTTAACAAATCCACCTCCAATGTCTGAAGATTACATTATTAAAATTTTAACAAATCCACCTCCAATGTCTGAAGATTACATTATTAAAATTTTAACAAATCCACCTCCAATGTCTGAAGATTACATGATCAAGATTTTAACAAATCCACCTCCAATGTCTGAAGATTACATGATCAAGATTTTAACAAATCCACCTCCAATGTCTGAAGATTACATGATCAAGATTTTAAACGAGATATTCAACACTGATAATAAACTGTTTTTCTATCAACATCTCATACAAATTGATTTATAACACAAAGCTACCAGGCCTGAAAATATCATAGATTCTACCTATACCAGTTGCCAGGTAAAACTTACCAGGGACTCGTATGACAGGTCCATCTTCAGTAGACGTTCCTCAGCAAGTGTCTCTTTGGATTCGAGAGTTACAGCATCGATTGGACCTTTCTCCATGACTGTCTGTGCGGCCTTGTACAACATAAACAGCTGTTGCCCTCCACCACCCTACAATAATACTAGTATTTATAATGATTGGCTAAATGTACCACCCTCGAATGTCTTTAATAGAACATTCAACTGCATGGGTGTGGGAAGGTAGAACATTCTACTGTGTGAGTGTGGGTAAGTAGAACATTCAACTGCATAGGTGTGGGTAGGTAGAACATTCAACTGCATGGTGAGGGTAGGTAGAACATTCTACTGTATGGGTGTGGGTAGGTAGAACATTCTACTGTATGGGTGAGGGTAGGTAGAACATTCTACTGTATTTGTGTGGGTAGGTAGAACATTCTACTGTATGGTGAGGGTAGGTAGAACATTCTACTGTATGGGTGTGGGTAGGTAGAACATTCAACTGCATGGGTGTGGGAAGGTAGAACATTCTTATGTATGTGTGTGGGAAGGTAGAATATTCTACTGTATGGGTGAGGGTAGGTAGAACATTCTACTGTATAGGTGTGGGTAGGTAGAACATTCTACTGTATGGGTGTGGGTAGGTAGAACATTCTACTGTATGGGTGAGGGTAGGTAGAACTTTCTACTGTATGGGTGTGGGTAGGTAGAACATTCTACTGTATGGGTGTGGGTAGGTAGAACATTCTACTGTATGGGTGAGGGTAGGTAGAACATTCTACTGTATGTGTGTGGGTAGGTAGAACATTCTACTGTATGGGTGAGGGTAGGTAGAACATTCTACTGTATGGGTGTGGGTAGGTAGAACATTCTACTGTATGGGTGTGGGTAGGTAGAACATTCTACTGTATGGGTGTGGGTAGGTAGAACATTCTACTGTATGGGTGTGGGTAGGTAGAACATTCTACTGTATGGGTGAGGGTAGGTAGAACATTCTACTGTATGTGTGTGTGGGTAGGTGTGGGTAGAACATTCTACTGTATGGGTGTGGGTAGGTAGAACATTCTACTGTATGGGTGTGGGTAGGTAGAACATTCTACTGTATGGTGTGGGTAGGTAGAACATTCTACTGTATGGTGTGGGTAGGTAGAACATTCTACTGTATGGGTGTGGGTAGGTAGAACATTCTACTGTATGGGTGTGGGGTAGAACATTCTACTGTATGTGTGTGGGTAGGTAGAACATTCTACTGTATGGGTGTGGGTAGGTAGAACATTCTACTGTATGGGTGTGGGTAGGTAGAACATTCTACAGTATGGGTGTGGGTAGGTAGAACATTCTACTGTATGGGTGTGGGTAGGTAGAACATTCTACTGTATGGGTGTGGGTAGGTAGAACATTCTATTGTATGGGTGTGGGTAGGTAGAACATTCTACTGTATAGGTGTGGGTAGGTAGAACATTCTACTGTATGGGTGAGGGTAGGTAGAACATTCTACTGTATGGGTGTGGGTAGGTAGAACATTCTACAGTATGGGTGAGGGTAGGTAGAACATTCTACTGTATAGGTGTGGGTAGGTAGAACATTCTATTGTATGGGTGTGGGTAGGTAGAACATTCTACTGTATGGGTGAGGGTAGAACATTCTACTGTATGGGTGTGGGTAGGTAGAACATTCTACTGTATGGGTGTGGGTAGGTAGAACATTCTACTGTATGGGTGTGGGTAGGTAGAACATTCTACTGTATGGGTGTGGGTAGGTAGAACATTCTACTGTATGGGTGTGGGTAGGTAGAACATTCAACTGCATGGGGTGTGTATGGTGTGGGTAGGTAGAACATTCTACTGTATGGTGTGGGTAGGTAGAACATTCTACTGTATGGGTGTGGGTAGGTAGAACATTCTACTGTATGGGTGTGGGTAGGTAGAACATTCTACTGTATGGGTGTGGGTAGGTAGAACATTCTACTGTATGAGTGTGGGTAGGTAGAACATTCTACTGTATGTGTGTGGGTAGGTAGAACATTCTACTGTATGGGTGAGGGTAGGTAGAACATTCTACTGTATGGGTGTGGGTAGGTAGAACATTCTACTGTATGTGTGTGGGTAGGTAGAACATTCTACTGTATGGGTGTGGGTAGTTAGAACATTCTACTGTATGGGTGTGGGTAGGTAGAACATTCTACTGTATGGGTGTGGGTAGGTAGAACATTCTACTGTATGGGTGAGGGTAGGTAGAACATTCTACTGTATGGGTGAGGGTAGGTAGAACATTCTACTGTATGGGTGTGGGTAGGTAGAACATTCTACTGTATGGGTGTGGGTAGGTAGAACATTCTACTGTATGGGTGAGGGTAGGTAGGTAGAACATTCTACTGTATGGGTGTGGGTAGGTAGAACATTCTACTGTATGGGTGTGGGTAGGTAGAACATTCTACTGTATGGGTGAGGGTAGGTAGAACATTCTACTGTATGGGTGTGGGTAGGTAGAACATTCTACTGTATGGGTGAGGGTAGGTAGAACATTCTACTGTATGTGTGTGGGTAGGTAGAACATTCTACTGTATGGGTGAGGGTAGGTAGAACATTCTACTGTATGGGTGAGGGTAGGTAGAACATTCTACTGTATGGGTGAGGGTACTGTATGGGTGTGGGTAGGTAGAACATTCTACTGTATGGGTGTGGGTAGGTAGAACATTCTACTGTATGGGTGAGGGTAGGTAGAACATTCTACTGTATGGGTGTGGGTAGGTAGAACATTCTACTGTATGGGTGAGGGTAGGTAGAACATTCTACTGTATGTGTGTGGGTAGGTAGAACATTCTACTGTATGAGTGTGGGTAGGTAGAACATTCTACTGTATGGGTGTGGGTAGGTAGAATATTCTACTCTATGGGTGTGGGAAGGTAGAACATTTTACTGTATGGGTGAGGGTTGGTAGAACATTTTACTGTATGGTGAGGGTAGGTAGAACATTCTACAATATGGGTGTGGGTAGGTAGAACATTCTACTGTATTGGTGTGGGTAGGTAGAACATTCTACTGTATTGGTGTGGGTAGGTAGAACATTCTACTGTATGGTGAGGGTAGGTAGAACATTCTACAGTATGGGTGTGGGTAGGTAGAACATTCTACTGTATGGGTGTGGGTAGGTAGAACATTCTACTGTATGGGTGTGGGTAGGTAGAACATTCTACTGTATGTGTGTGGGTAGGTAGAACATTCTACTGTATGGGTGAGGGTAGGTAGAACATTCTACTGTATGGGTGATGGGTGAGGGTAGGGTAGGTAGAACATTCTACTGTATGGGTGTGGGTAGGTAGAACATTCTACTGTATGTGTGTGGGTAGGTAGAACATTCTACTGTATGGGTGTGGGTAGGTAGAACATTCTACTGTATGGGTGAGGGTAGGTAGAACATTCTACTGTATGGGTGTGGGTAGGTAGAACATTCTACTGTATGGGTGTGGGTAGGTAGAACATTCTACTGTATGGGTGAGGGTAGGTAGAACATTCTACTGTATAGGTGTGGGTAGGTAGAACATTCTACTGTATAGGTGTGGGTAGGTAGAACATTCTACTGTATGGTGAGGGTAGGTAGAACATTCTACTGTATGGGTGTGGGTAGGTAGAACATTCTACTGTATGGGTGTGGGTAGGTAGAACATTCTTATGTAGTAGTTGTTAGATTAAAGTGCCATTGATATTTTAACAAACCTTAAGGTAAGGAAACAATGATAGGCTCATCCAATCAGATAGCAGCTTCTGTGTGATGGAGTCTGACCTGAAACCAAGAATATCACTGTAAAGGTACTGGTCAGAAATACCTGTATTGGGTACAAATATAGCTTTCTGGTTGTGGGTTATCTCCCCTGATCTTAAGGTACAGAACTGATATTCAATAAGCAGAAATAAGCTTCCTTGAGAAGTGATGTCACAATTAATGGTTCCAGAGATGCAAACACACAAGAGGTCCCTAGGGCCTGGCATGTTATTTAACTCAGACATGTAAATGATACCAGTATTTGTTGTGGGAACAATCATCTTAAGATTTCAGTAGTAAACGTAACAAAAACAATATCGTTCTTTTCAATTTCTCAGGACTGGAGTGAAACTTAAAATGTGTTTCAGAAAGACCTTAAAGATTGCAAGTACATAGTCATTTAGATCCCCCACCCATGTACATTTGTAAAATATATACATTTAAAGTCAGCAACATGGAACACTAAAGTATTGAAACCATTTCTTGTTTATGTTAAGATTAATGTTCTGTTGAAAGTGATCAGTATAATAACGATGCAGTAGCATAACACTGTGAATATTAAAACAGGCTAATCATACATCTACATTCTTTTATTCAATGGTAATGATAGAATATTTGTTACTTAATTTCAGTGATGCTGGTCAATCAATGGTTCTTTTACTGCTTAAGTATGACAACACAGTGAAATGGTTTACACATTAATAACATACAATACAGCATCTAATGGTCAGATATGTAAAATTACAGGAAAGTTACTATCAGGAAAACAAATCACAACCGATGATAGTGCAACATCACTTCTTACATCAGACTTCTAAAAACATTTCGAAGATTCACTGTCATAGGTTTATTAGGGCTTTTTACTAACTTGTGAAAAGACCTATTGTTATTGTTTTGTTTCTTTTTTTTATGCTTCTTCAGTGATTTTATGGCGTCTGAATTTCCGAATTGGTAAGATATATCTTTACAGTCTTTTAAATGTCTTTTAAGACATGGTCTATAGGTGTGAACTGATATCTTATTTCAAAAATTATAAAATTCCAATATGGCAGATATGATGCGATATATATCAGCCAATCAGGTCACAGCAGCTTCATAAATTGGAGAAAATGCCGATAATCAAAACTTGAACAAGGGGATAAGGAAACAAGTTTACCAAGCGCGTCTCGTCATAATTCATTTGTTCCTTCAAAAGATAACTTGCAGAAAGCATTCAGTTAAAGTACAGAAAGATATCAGCCAACCAGGTCACTGCAGTCACATGAAATACTGTACGCATATAGTTTGCTGACATTAGAACTTGAACAAAAAGGTAATAAGTCTACAAAGCAAGTTTCCTAAAATTCCTTCATAAGATAATATACAGGAAGCATTCCCATAGAGTGATTAAAGAAACCAGCCAATCAAGTCACAGCAGTCTCATTCAATATGCATAGAATTCACCATTAATCAAACTTGGGCAAGGGATTATGGTAACAAGTGTACCAATCAAGTTTAAAGAAAATTCAATCAGTCCTTTTAAAGATATGCTGACAGCAGCATCCGGATAGACAGAACACACCTGAATATCAATGGGTGGGGAAAATGAAAATAAGTCAGGACCCAAGTTCATCTGTTTTGATCCATGTATATAGAACAATGTGAGGTTTGGAACATAGAGATTGACCTACCTCCTAAACAATGTGAGGTTTGGAACATAGAAATTGACCTACCTCCTAAACAGTGTGAGGTTTGGAACATACAGATCAACCAACCTCCTAAACAGTGTGAGGTTTGGAACATAGAGATTGACCAACCTCCTAAACAATGTGAGGTTTGGAACATAGAGATTGACCAACCTCCTAAACAATGTGAGGTTTGGAACATACTGACTGACCAACTTCCTAAACAATGTCAGGTTTGGAACATACAGATTGACCTACCTCCTAAACAATGTGAAGTTTAGAACATACAGATTGACCAACCTCCTAAACAATGTGAGGTTTGGAACATACAGATTGACCTACCTCCTAATCATTGTCAGGTTTGGAACATACAGATTGACCTACCTCCTAAACAGTACTTTGTACTGTTTACGTGAAGCACCAGCAATAAGTTTGTGCAGCAGTTCTTCAATCACTCTGAAGTAAAAAAAAAGTTGAAAAATAATAAAGATCAAAAGAAAAGAAAAAAGAATGAGTAGGTTTGATGTAAGCAATGAACTGTGATAATTTGGCAATGAAAATCACAAAGAGTGAGAGAGCTAAGTGTGAATAGAATAGAAGTTCTTATAACACAATCAGTAGCAGATTGGAGTGTGATGTTTCAATGACTATAGGTCACCCTCATCAGACAAATGACCAGTGTGGAGCCTACTAGCACTGACGTGAGTAGTGTGCAAGATGGTACAACATTGACCAACTTTTTCGGCTGCACTATAATCCTGTACACTAAGGTCAAAAATAGTGTGACGAGATGGTAAACAGATTACAGACCAAACCATACACCAGATGGTAACAATGTACTGTAGTCAATTCAGCTATGCTTTGTTTAACACTTGGTCATAGAGTTTGCTGCGTGGAATGATCTGTAAGTGCAGATTTATTGATCCGTGACGTATGATTTTGCTGCGTGGAATGATCTGTAAGTGCAGATTTATTGATCCGTGACGTATGATTTTGCTGCGTGGAATGATCTGTAAGTGCAGATTTATTGATCCGTGACATATGATTTTGCTGCGTGGAATGATCTGTAAGTGCAGATTTATTGATCCGTGACGTATGATTTTGCTGCGTGGAATGATCTGTAAGTGCAGATTTATTGATCCGTGACATATGATTTTGCTGCGTGGAATGATCTGTAAGTGCAGATTTATTGATCCGTGACGTATGATTTTGCTGCGTGGAATGATCTGTAAGTGCAGATTTATTGATCCGTGACGTATGATTTTGCTGCGTGGAATGATCTGTAAGTGCAGATTTATTGATCCGTGACATATGATTTTGCTGCGTGGAATGATCTGTAAGTGCAGATTTATTGATCCGTGACGTATGATTTTGCTGCGTGGAATGATCTGTTAGTGCAGATTTATTGATCAGGGATTGTGAATGTTTTCATTCTATTCGTGTGTAATTTTTTGCCTTCTTGGGATTCCATATGGTTTTAATATTCATTGATTAGACCCCAAATCTCCTGCATCCAATTTTGTATACACATTCTGCGACATTTTCTATGGGTGGTTTATCCTCAGGTTGGACTAGGATATGTCGGAGAGTCTTGTGAGGTTTCATGGTCACTGCAATGCCATGACCATGGTAAATCCTCTGAATGGTTTCTGACAGGCCTTTGATATAAGGGATGAGAACTGGTCCTTTTCTTCTGGTCAGTTGTCTGATACAGGTGACTGTGTAGTCATTGACAACTCACACTCCAATTTTCTACTAGTTGTGTTATAAGAACTTCTATCCTATTGACAATACCATCCTGCATAAAATGTTCCAAAATAGTGTGCAATATGATAATTGTCTGAAAACTTTGTCATTTGTAAAAAGATTTCAATAATCATCTTCACATTACTAAATAAAACACAAAATAAATTATCAACAGTGAAACACCTATTTCAACGCTGAGTCGTTATCATTTCTATGCCTACAATAATGATGTAGGCCCTGTTACTCTGATAAGTAGTTCATCTCAGGTACCTACTTACTCTGATAAGTAGGTCATTTTGGGTACATACTTAATCTAATAAGTAGGTCATCATGGGTTCATACTTACTGTGATAAATAGGTCATCTGGGGTTCATACTTACTGTGATAAGTAGGTCATCTCATGTACATACTAACTCTAATAAGTAGGTTATCTGGAGTTCATACTTACTCTGATATGTAGGTCATCTCAGGTTCATACTTACTCTGTGACAAGTAGGTCATCTTGGGTTCATATTTACTCTAATAAGTAGGTCATCTCGGGTTCATACTTACTCTGATAAGAAGGTCATCTCAGGTACATACTAACTCTGATAAGTAGGTTATTTGGGGTTCATACTTACTCTGATAAGTAATTCATCTCAGGTACATACTTACTTTAATAAGTAGGTCATCATGGGTTCATACTTACTGTGATAAATAGGTCATCTGGGCTTCATACTTATTGTGACAAGTAGGTCATCTTGGTTTCATACTTACTCTAGAAATAGGTCATCTCAGGTTCATACTTACTCTGATAAGTAGGTCACCTAGGGTTTATACTTACTGTGATATGTAGGTCATCTTTCCTAACAATATAACAGTCAGCAGTGATGAAAATTCTGCCCTGAATAAACCAAAACATCAATTCATGTAATATTCTAGATATTAAAAATTTGCTCAATCTAGCAATCAAATGTTACTACATAATCAAGTTGTAATATATTAGTACATTTAATAATATTTGCATCTGCTGTTAAAGCTGTTATAAAGAACAGAAACAGAATCTGTGATCAACACAATGTTTATGGTACAACAATAAAGCAATGACTGTATAAATTTGTATGTGAAAATTAAACTTATCACACTTGCATTAAATATTTTGTGTTGAAAATATAAATCCTACAGTATCTTCTTCAGTTCAGTTCAAATGTCATGGTTATATTGTCACATTTCTACAGAAATTATCATGAGGTCCAAATCTAATACTCACTTCTCTTGAACAGAAAAATTGTTCTGTCGCTCCATAGTTCTGATTAGAGACTGAAGGAAGAATTTGTTCTTCAATAATTCTTCGAATGCCAGGATTCCTTTTGGGGCTAGCATTGAAATGTCTTCCATCTGGCACTGTTCATAAAATAATGTGTATGTAATACAAGTTTTATAATGAAAAAAAATTACCATACAGACAGGGCATTATAATCATTTAGATACAATAAGTACTAAATATAACTGTCAACAAAAGTAGGTCCAATACAATTACTGCAAAACTGTTTTAGCTTAGTATACAGAGGATTGAGAATATAAAAATGCTTAGAAAATCAAATATATTTTACATAAAATCACCAACCAGCACCTACATGCTATATTACACTATTATCATATCTACGGATATATAAGTGATTTTCTGTGTTAACATAGAAGGATGAACAGAATAATGATATTTTGTAACATTATTATTGTGTGATAATTGATACATAAAATTGTAAACTTGTAAACTAGAATTAACACATAGTAAACTTGAGAAAACACTGTATTCCTTTTCTACAAAGCCACACATATTTAAGCATGAGAGAAGTAAGTTTAGATGATGAGAAATTTTTATGAATTATAATTATAATTTAATTTAGTGATAAGTAGAAGTTGCATTCTGATGATAAACGTTATCCCCCGCCCCCATACACACAGATGTAAAGACCTATATATACCAAATTTGGTGAAAACTCAATGAATAAGCCAAAAACAGTTGAAAACTAGATTCTAAAACATAATAATTCATCAGTTTGTATTTTATGAAATGATTTCAGATCATGACCTTGAACAAAATGACCATGCTAGGAATCAACGTCCTATATCCAGCAATAAATAAGTTAAATCTAGAACCATGACAACAAATTAATAAACAACAGTGATTTCAATGTAATCATATGTCAGTGTTCCGTTGTTATTTGATGTGTCCTAAACACCCCTAGTAATATTGTATCTCTGCAAGAAATCACCCTTCTAAATCCATTGTCAGCTACAGCTCACTCAGCAGTGCTGAACACAGAAACACAGCACCAATCAAACCCCAAAAAATGGGTTTTAGGAAAAGAAGCAGAAAACCATGTTAAATGGTACCATTCAATAAAGGTGCTAACCAAATCTCAAGTCAACTGGTACTCAGGTTACCAGAGGAACAGAAGAGCTAATTCCAGATTAACACTCCCCCACCTACAACTTCTTTGTGGGAGTGAAGGTATGTAGATGATTGCGATCACAAAAGTGAAATCTTAACTTAATCCGTAATAGGTTATTAAAACTAATATATATATATATGAATTCGATAATTAATCAAATAGTAATTTCTATTGAATTGACATTCTTAGTAATATGTATTTTGAAGTAAATTTTACAAAGAACTTTTGTATGAAATAAATACAAAGTATAGACATTAATAAATAGTTAGTTTAGTACAGAACAGGAAACGTTTCATATTATCAATATGTTCTCAATAGATTTCAAGATCAAATGAGGATTAGGAGTGCATGGATTCATAATAGTTTACGCCTTCAGGATACAAACAAAAAGTTGACATCAGAGAGTCTTGCTAGACAATACTTCATATATAAGGTGAAATAACTCTTGTTTATGATATTTGTTTACAGGTATTTTATAGTTAAGGTGTGCTATATAAACATCTATCACAAACCCGTACCTTAGGAGTAATATCAGTCTGCAATAAAACAAAGCAACATCATGAAACCCAAGTCATGGAGACAAACCAGGCTCCTTTAGATAGTGATAATAGCTACAGCTAACCCTTAGGCAAAAGGAGACATCCCATCATCACATAAGGGTTAGAAAGATAGTCGCCCGAGGCAAATTGATACACTCCATCATAGTACAAAATAAGTTATTGTATCAAAGACAATAAAAAGACTTCAAGACGCAAAAACAATTAACATTTGTAGACAAACGAAGCCAGATATGCTAAAATGATTTTGTGAATAAAGTTAATTTAACATGAAAATAGCAATATTGTTTCACTTTACCATGGACATGGTAAAGCCCCCTGCCCCACCCTGAATTTCCCTATCCTTATGACAGTCTCTCATTTAATAAATCACTTATGAAATACACTTGAGAGTTAAGACATACCATGGCACTGGACTGATAGTAAATACTCTCTCCGGCTTTCAGCTTCGGGAACAGGGCATGGAACGAATAGTGATGATAGTTAAAGTATGGGATTCCAGTTGTCACTAAATCACCTTTGATGTCCTGCATGCTCATCTGCATGTCTGCAAATACTTAAGACCAAAAACACATCCTTGTCATATAAACTCGGTAAAGACAAGTGCTTTTATGTACATATATATTACAGCCATCAGATATATATACCTGAAAGTTTGTAACACCGCTAAATGATAAACAAATTGATATTTTTTGTAAAACTACACTAAAGGTCAGTAAAATTCGGATCTTCAGACGCTGTTGTAAGGTATCTCTAGCAGCTTGTCCACTAGTTTACTTCAGAATGAATTGCTGTCATATTGAAACAATTCACACTTATGGACATTTGTATGGTATTATACTGTAAATCAAGTAGATTTGAGAATACATAATTTGATAAACACTGATCTAGAGACATCTTTAGAGTCACTAATGATGAAAAATAAGAGACATGGACTCTGCCAGACTCCAATATTGGTAACAGAATCAACATGGATGATGCCATCTAGAGTTTTATATTTGTATAAATAATCATGAGTAATTATATAGGGTCCCTAGCCTGCAGCAAACGTAAAATTCCCTGACTCTTCAATGACTTTTCCCTGAAAAAATTTTATTTTGTCCCTGACCAAAAAAAGTTTATTTAAACGGTCTCCACACATGCCCCTCCAGCCGTCCAGTCCACCCACATCTTAAAAATTTATGATTTATTCAAGGAAAGTTTGGCAGAGTCATTCTGTGTTTTTATCTTTTCATTACATCAGAAGACCACTCTAGTCACAATAAATTCAACCATCAAAATGATTTTTCCTGACTTTCATGGAATTAGAAAATTCACTGATTTTTCACTGACCTTGAAATGATAATGAATTTTCCTGAATTTTTCACTGACCTAGAAATAATAATGAATTTCCCTGAATTTTTCACTGACCTTGAAATGATAATGAATTTCCCTGAAGTTTTCACTGACCTAGAAATAATAATGAATTTCCCTGAATTTTTCACTGACCTTGAAATGATAATGAATTTCCCTGAATTTTCCCCTGACTTTGAAATAATTATGAATTTCCCTGAATTTTTCCCTGACCTTGAAATAATAATGAATTTTCCTGAATTTTTCACTGACCTAGAAATAATAATGAATTTCCCAGAATTTTTCACTGACCTTAAAATGATAATGAATTTCCCTGAATTTTCCCCTGACTTTGAAATAATTATGAATTTCCCTGAATTTTTCCCTGACCTTGAAATAATAATGAATTTCCCTGAATTTTTCACTGACCTTGAAATAATAATGAATTTCCCTGAATATTTCACTGACCTAGAAATAATAATGAATTTCCTTGACTTTTTTGCTGACCTTGAAATAATAATGAATTTCCCTGACTTTTCATTGACCTAGAAATAATAATGAATTTCCCTGAATATTTCACTGACCTTGAAATAATAATGAATTTCCCAGAATTTTTCACTGACCTTGAAATAATAATGAATTTCCCTGAATATTTCACTGACCTTGAAATAATAATGAATTTCCCAGAATTTTTCACTGATCTAGAAATAATAATGAATTTCCCTGAATTTTTCACTGACCTAGAAATAATAATGAATTTCCCTGAATTTTTCACTGACCTTGAAATAATAATGAATTTTCCTGACTTTTCACTGACCTTGAAATGATAATGAATTTCCCTGATTTTTCACTGACCTTGAAATAATAATGAATTTCCTTGAATTTTTCACTGACCTTGAAATAATAATGAATTTCCCTGAATTTTTCACTGACCTTGAAATAATAATGAATTTCCCTGATTTTTCACTGACCTTGAAATAATAATGAATTTCCTTGAATTTTTCACTGACCTTGAAATAATAATGAATTTCCCTGAATTTTTCACTGACCTTGAAATAATAATGAATTTCCCTGAATTTTTCACTGGCCTTGAAATAATAATGAATTTCCCTGAATTTTCACTGACCTTGAAATAATAATGAATTTCCCAGAATTTTTCACTGACCTTGAAATAATAATGAATTTCCCTGAATTTTTCACTGACCTTGAAATAATAATGAATTTCCCTGATTTTTCACTGACCTTGAAATAATAATGAATTTCCTTGAATTTTTCACTGACCTTGAAATAATAATGAATTTCCCTGAATTTTTCACTGACCTTGAAATAATAATGAATTTCCCTGAATTTTTCACTGGCCTTGAAATAATAATGAATTTCCCTGAATTTTCACTGACCTTGAAATAATAATGAATTTCCCAGAATTTTTCACTGACCTAGAAATAATAATAATGAATTTCCCTGACTTTTCACTGACCTAGAAATAATAATGAATTTCCTTGACTTTTTTGCTGACCTTGAAATAATAATGAATTTCCCTGACTTTTCATTGACCTAGAAATAATAATGAATTTTCCTGACTCTTCACTGACCTGGCAACCCTGTTATAATCAATTACCTCTCCTTGCATGGCAATGCCAAAATAAATCCCCCACAAAAAAGAAGTGATTTACAGTAAACAGGTTTCTTCTCTCTTTGTTGGATCAGAGTAAGAATAAATGAAGGCAAAATGTTATAACTTAATGAATTTTCTAAAGATTTTTCACATATCCTCTCATAAGTGACAATTTTTGATGAAAAATGACAGTTTATCAAACAAGCTTTTCTTTGAAGTCGCTTGTTCCAGTTTGTATTTGTTAATAACAAATTGACAAAATACTGTAAAACCATCAATTTTTGTTGGGGTTTTTGCTGATTTCATGAATACACTCTTATTCCATGAATTCATACATCAAAAAACTGTTGAAATAAGTAGATTTATATAGCTACATATTTATCCACAGAATCAAATTTCCACAACACAGTGATATTTTTGGTCTGGAAAAACCACGAAAAATTGATTTTATGGTCCATGTTATTGTGCCTTTCCAAGATGTATTGACTTATTGCAGACCCGCTTAAAATCCATAAAATGTCACATGAAGTATCACGTCAACACTATTTGGTCAGTTATATAAAACACCCTCAATGTATATGTACCTTCTCGACTTTTGGATCTGATGTTGCTCTCCATTTCTACAATATCGTTCTGGAGTTTGGAAACTTGGCTGTTCTTCTTGCGTACACGGACCATACAGAAGGTAAGGACAACCAACATGGACAAAACCACGGCACCTAGTACGGCACAGATGATGATGATTGTCAGGTCTTTCTCATAGTAAATAGCACCAACATTTTGTCGAAGATTTCCAACCAACACCTAAACAGACAATAGCATTATGATGATTACGATGATTTAATGTAAAGCATTAATCTTAATACTAGGTCAATGTTATTTATGAGGCTGTATATTGGAAGCAATGCTGAGAAAGGTTCGCTTACCTCGACTTGGTATTCATTTCCTTCATGTAAGAAATCAGGTGGTTTGAAGGTGATAAGTGTACCATTAATGTTGATGCTGACCTCATCACAACGGGTTGTCTGAACAAGCACTTCATAGTCAGATTCAACAGCTCCTCTCAGCAGGTCCTTACCCTACAGCCAAAACATCAATTAATCAAAACTCACAGTAGGTACTGACCCTACAGCCAAAACATTCATGAACAGTAACTCACAGTAGGTACTGACCCTACAGCCAAAACATCAATTAATCAAAACACACAGTAGGTACTGACCCTACCACCAAAACAGCCATTAATAGCAACACGCAGTAGGTACTGACCCTACAGCCAAAACAGCCATTAATAGCAACTCACAGTAGGTAGTGACCCTACAGCCAAAACATTCATCAACAGTACCTCACAGTAGGTACTGACCCTACAGCCAAAACATCAATTAATCAAAACTCACAGTAGGTACTGACCCTACAGCCAAAACATTCATCAACAGTACCTCGCAGTAGGTACTGACCCTACAGCCAAAACAGCCATTAATAGCAACACGCAGTAGGTACTGACCCTACAGCCAAAACAGCCATTAATAGCAACACGCAGTAGGTACTGACCCTACAGCCAAAACAGCCATTAATAGCAACACGCAGTAGGTACTGACCCTACAGCCAAAACATTCATCAACAGTACCTCGCAGCAGGCACTGACCCTACAGCCAAAACAGCCATTAATAGCAACTCACAGTAGGTACTGACCCTACAGCCAAAACAGCCATTAATAGCAACACGCAGTAGGAACTGACCCTACAGCCAAAACAGCCATTAATAGCAACACACAGTAGGTACTGACCCTACAGCCAAAACAGCCATTAATAGCAACACGCAGTAGGTACTGACCCTACAGCCAAAACAGCCATTAATAGCAACACGCAGTAGGTACTAACCCTACAGCCATTAATAGCAACATGCAGTAGGTACTGACCCTACAGCCAAAACATTCATCAACAGTACCTCGCAGTAGGTACTGACCCTACAGCCAAAACAGCCATTAATAGCAACACGCAGTAGGTACTGACCCTACAGCCAAAACATTCATCAACAGTACCTCGCAGTAGGCACTGACCCTATTGCCAAAACAGCCATTAATAGCAACTCAAAGTAGGTACTGACCCTACAGCCAAAACAGCCATTAATAGCAACTCAAAGTAGGTGCTGACCCTACAGCCAAAACAGCCATTAATAGCAACACGCAGTAGGTACTGACCCTACAGCCAAAACAGCCATTAATAGCAACACGCAGTAGGTACTGACCCTACAGCCAAAACAGCCATTAATAGCAACACTCAGTAGGTACTGACCCTACAGCCAAAACATTCATCAACAGTAGGTACTGACCCTACAGCCAAAACAGCATTAATAGCAACACACAGTAGGTACTGACCCTACAGCCAAAACAGCCATTAATAGCAACACACAGTAGGTACTGACCCTACAGCCAAAACAGCCATTAATAGCAACACGCAGTAGGTACTGACCCTACAGCCAAAACAGCCATTAATAGCAACACGCAGTAGGTACTGACCCTACAGCCAAAACAGCCATTAATAGCAACACGCAGTAGGTACTGACCCTACAGCCAAAACATTCATGAACAGTAACTCACAGTAGGTACTGACCCTACAGCCAAAACAGCCATCAACAGTACCTCGCAGTAGGTACTGACCCTACAGCCAAAACAGCCATTAATAGCAACACGCAGTAGGTACTGACCCTACAGCCAAAACATTCATCAACAGTACCTCGCAGTAGGCACTGACCCTATTGCCAAAACAGCCATTAATAGCAACTCAAAGTAGGTACTGACCCTACAGCCAAAACAGCCATTAATAGCAACTCAAAGTAGGTACTGACCCTACAGCCAAATAGCAGCCATTAATACAGCCAAAACATTCATGCAGTAGTAGTACTGACCCTACAGCCAAAACATCCATTAATAGCAACTCACAGTAGGTACTGACCCTACAGCCAAAACAGCCATTAATAGCAACTCACAGTAGGTACTGACCCTACAGCCAAAACAGCCATTAATAGCAACATGCAGTAGGTACTGACCCTACAGCCAAAACAGCCATTAATAGCAACACGCAGTAGGTACTGACCCTACAGCCAAAACAGCCATAGCAACAGCAGTAACACACAGTAGGTACTGACCCTACAGCCAAAACAGCCATTAATAGCAACACACAGTAGGTACTGACCCTACAGCCAAAACAGCCATTAATAGCAACATCACAGTAGGTACTGACCCTACAGCCAAAACAGCCATTAATAGCAACACGCAGTAGGTACTGACCCTAATAGCAACAGCAGTAGGTACTGACCCTACAGCCAAAACATTCATCAACAGTACCTCGCAGTAACCCTACAGCCAAAACAGCCATTAATAGCAACACACAGTAGGTACTGACCCTACAGCCAAAACAGCCATTAATAGCAACTCGCAGTAGGTACTGACCCTACAGCCAAAACAGCCATTAATAGCAACTCGCAGTAGGTACTGACCCTACAGCCAAAACAGCCATTAATAGCAACTCGCAGTAGGTACTGACCCTACAGCCAAAACAGCCATTAATAGCAACACGCAGTAGGTACTGACCCTACAGCCAAAACAGCCATTAATAGCAACATGCAGTAGGTAGTGACACTACAGCCAAAACATTCATCAACAGTACCTCGCAGTAGGTACTGACCCTACAGCCAAAACAGCCATTAATAGCAACACGCAGTAGGTACTGACCCTACAGCCAAAACAGCCATTAATAGCAACACGCAGTAGGTACTGACCCTACAGCCAAAACAGCCATTAATAGCAACACACAGTAGGTACTGACCCTACAGCCAAAACAGCCATTAATAGCAACACACAGTAGGTACTGACCCTACAGCCAAAACAGCCATTAATAGCAACACACAGTAGGTACTGACCCTACAGCCAAAACAGCCATTAATAGCAACACGCAGTAGGTACCAAAACATTCATCAACAGTCGCAGTAGGTACTGACCCTACAGCCAAAACAGCCATTAATAGCAACACGCAGTAGGTACTGACCCTACAGCCAAAACAGCCATTAATAGCAACTCAAAGTAGGTACTGACCCTACAGCCAAAACAGCCATTAATAGCAACACGCAGTAGGTACTGACCCTACAGCCAAAACATTCATCAACAGTACCTCGCGGCAGGTACTGACCCTACAGCCAAAACAGCCATTAATAGCAACTCACAGTAGGTACTGACCCTACAGCCAAAACAGCCATTAATAGCAACACGCAGTAGGTACTGACCCTACAGCCAAAACAGCCATTAATAGCAACTCAAAGTAGGTACTGACCCTACAGCCAAAACAGCCATTAATAGCAACTCAAAGTAGGTACTGACCCTACAGCCAAAACAGCCATTAATAGCAACTCAAAGTAGGTACTGACCCTACAGCCAAAACAGCCATTAATAGCAACACGCAGTAGGTACTGACCCTACAGCCAAAACAGCCATTAATAGCAACACGCAGTAGGTACTGACAGCCATACAGCCAAAACAGCCATTAATAGCAACTCACAGTAGGTACTGACCCTACAGCCAAAACAGCCATTAATAGCAACATCACAGTAGGTACTGACCCTACAGCCAAAACAGCATTAATAGCAACTCACAGTAGGTACAACACCTCACAGTAGGTACTGACCCTACAGCCAAAACAGCCATTAATAGCAACTCACAGTAGGTACTGACCCTACAGCCAAAACATTCATCAACAGCCATAGGTAACCCTACAGCCAAAACAGCCATTAATAGCAACTTACAGTAGGTACTGACCCTACAGCCAAAACAGCCATTAATAGCAACACGCAGTAGGTACTGACCCTACAGCCAAAACAGCCATTAATAGCAACACGCAGTAGGTACTGACCCTACAGCCAAAACAGCCATTAATAGCAACACGCAGTAGGTACTGACCCTACAGCCAAAACAGCCATTAATAGCAACTCACAGTAGGTACTGACCCTACAGCCAAAACAGCCATTAATAGCAACACGCAGTAGGTACTGACCCTACAGCCAAAACAGCCATTAATAGCAACTCACAGTAGGTACTGACCCTACAGCCAAAACAGCCATTAATAGCAACACGCAGTAGGTACTGACCCTACAGCCAAAACATTCATCAACAGTACCTCACAGTAGGTACTGACCCTACAGCCAAAACAGCCATTAATGAGCCCTACAGCTGAAAACAGCCAAAACAGCCATTAATAGCAACTCACAGTAGGTACTGACCCTACAGCCAAAACAGCCATTAATAGCAACACGCAGTAGGAACTGAACAGTACCTCACAGTAGGTACTGACCCTACAGCCAAAACAGCCATTAATAGCAACACGCAGTAGGTACTGACCCTACAGCCAAAACAGCCATTAATAGCAACTCACAGTAGGTACTGACCCTACAGCCAAAACAGCAACATTAATAGCAACACATGCAGTAGGTAGTAGGTACTGACCCTACAGCCAAAACAGCCATTAATAGCAACTTACAGAAAGTACTGACCCTACAGCCAAAACAGCCATTAATAGCAACTCACAGTAGGTACTGACCCTACAGCCAAAACAGCCATTAATAGCAACTCACAGTAGGTACTGACCCTACAGCCAAAACAGCCATTAATAGCAACAGCCATTAATAGCAGTAGGTACTGACCCTACAGCCAAAACAGCCATTAATAGCAACTCACAGTAGGTACTGACCCTACAGCCAAAACATTCATCAACAGTACCTCACAGTAGGTACTGACCCTACAGCCAAAACAGCCATTAATAGCAACTCACAGAAGGTACTGACCCTACAGCCAAAACAGCCATTAATAGCAACACGCAGTAGGTACTGACCCTAAAGCCAAAACAGCCATTAATAGCAACTCACAGTAGGTACTGACCCTACAGCCAAAACAGCCAATAGCAACACGCAGTAGGTACTGACCCTACAGCCAAAACATTCATCAACAGTACCTCACAGTAGGTACTGACCCTACAGCCAAAACAGCCATTAATAGCAACTTACAGAAAGTACTGACCCTACAGCCAAAACAGCCATTAATAGCAACTCACAGTAGGTACTGACCCTACAGCCAAAACAGCCAATAGCAACACGCAGTAGGTACTGACCCTACAGCCAAAACATTCATCAACAGTACCTCACAGTAGGTACTGACCCTACAGCCAAAACAGCCATTAATAGCAACTTACAGAAAGTACTGACCCTACAGCCAAAACAGCCATTAATAGCAACTCACAGTAGGTACTGACCCTACAGCCAAAACAGCCATTAATAGCAACTTACAGAAAGTACTGACCCTACAGCCAAAACAGCCATTAATAGCAACTTACAGAAAGTACTGACCCTACAGCCAAAACAGCCATTAATAGCAACTCACAGTAGGTACTGACCCTACAGCCAAAACATTCATCAACAGTACCTCACAGTAGGTACTGACCCTACAGCCAAAACAGCCATTAATAGCAACTTACAGAAAGTACTGACCCTACAGCCAAAACAGCCATTAATAGCAACTCACAGTAGGTACTGACCCTACAGCCAAAACAGCCATTAATAGCAACTTACAGAAAGTACTGACCCTACAGCCAAAACAGCCATTAATAGCAACTTACAGAAAGTACTGACCCTACAGCCAAAACAGCCATTAATAGCAACTTACAGAAAGTACTGACCCTACAGCCAAAACAGCCATTAATAGCAACTCACAGTAGGTACTGACCCTACAGCCAAAACAGCCATTAATAGCAACTTACAGAAAGTACTGACCCTACAGCCAAAACATTCATCAACAGTACCTCGCAGTAGGTACTGACCCTACAGCCAAAACAGCCATTAATAGCAACACGCAGTAGGTACTGACCCTACAGCCAAAACGGCCATTAATAGCAACTCACAGTAGGTACTGACCCTACAGCCAAAACAGCCATTAATAGTAACACGCAGTAGGTACTGACCCTACAGCCAAAATTCTTTTCATCAACATATTTGTATCAGGTGAGCTAAAGATGTGTTCTATTACGTCTAATTTTGGCCTTCAATAAACTTTGATATAAAAAGTAAACAAAGTAAATGTTTATAAAAAATTGTGAATTTTTGTTGAAAATCCTATAGGACGATCGATAAATTCAGTGACCGTTTTTAATCTTAAAAGAAAAAAATATCCTTCAAGGTACATCAGTGAGGTTTTAATTTCATACATGTATGCTTTTGGTTTGGGATGATTTGAAAAATATAGAAAAAAACTAAAAGTACCTCGATTGTAACGTAGCTTTCTGCTGTATAGTGTAGTTAACTAAAAGTACCTCGATTGTAACGTAGCTTTCTGCTGCTTTGTGCAGTGTAGTTAACTAAAAGTACCTCGGTTGTAACGTAGCTTTCTGCTGTATAGTGTAGTTAACTAAAAGTACCTCGATTGTAACGTAGCTTTCTGCTGTATAGTGAAGTTAACTAAAAGGACCTCAATTGTAACATAGCTTTCTGCTGTATAGTGTAGTTAAGTAAAAGTACCTCGGTTGTAATGTAGCTTTCTGCTGTATATTGTAGTTAACTAAAAGTACCTCCATTGTAACATAGCTTTCTGCTGTATAGTGTAGTTAACTAAAAGTACCTCCATTGTAATGTAGCTTTCTGCTGTATAGTGTAGTGTCTTTAATAGTTAACTAAAAGTACCTCTGTTGTAAGGTAGCTTTCTGCTGTATATTGTAGTTAACTAAAAGTACCTCCATTGTAACATAGCTTTCTGCTGTATTGTGTAGTGTAGTTAACTAAAAGTACCTCACTTGTAACGTAGCTTTCTGCTGTATAGTGTAGTGTAGTTAACTAAAAGTACCTTGATTGTAATGTAGCTTTCTGCTGTATAGTGTAGTTAACTAAAAGTACCTTGATTGTAATGTAGCTTTCTGCTGTATAGTGTAGTTAACTAAAAGTACCTCAATTGTAACGTAGCTTTCTGCTGTATAGTGTAGTTAACTAAAAGTACCTCCATTGTAACGTAGCTTTCTGCTGTATAGTGTAGTTAACTAAAAGTACCTCAATTGTAACGTAGCTTTCTGCTGTATAGTGTAGTTAACTAAAAGTACCTCGGTTGTGATGTAGCTTTCTGCTGTATTGTGTAGTGTAGTTAACTAAAAGTACCTCAATTGTAACGTAGCTTTCTGCTGTATAGTGTAGTTAACTAAAAGTACCTCGGTTGTGATGTAGCTTTCTGCTGTATAGTGTAGTTAACTAAAAGTACCTCAATTGTAACGTAGCTTTCTGCTGTATAGTGTAGTTAACTAAAAGTACCTCAATTGTAACGTAGCTTTCTGCTGTATTGTGTAGTGTAGTTAACTAAAAGTACCTCCATTGTAACATAGCTTTCTGCTGTATAGTGTAGTTAAGTAAAAGTACCTTGATTGTAATGTAGCTTTCTGCTATATAGTGTAGTTAACTAAAAGTACCTCGATTGTAACATAGCTTTCTACTGTATATTGTAGTTAACTAAAAGTACCTCCATTGTAACGTAGCTTTCTGCTGTATTGTGTAGTGTAGTTAACTAAAAGTACCTCGGTTGTAACGTAGCTTTCTGCTGTATAGTGTAGTTAACTAAAAGTACCTCGATTGTAACTTAGCTTTCTGCTGTATAGTGAAGTTAACTAAAAGGACCTCAATTGTAACATAGCTTTCTGCTGTATAGTGTAGTTAAGTAAAAGTACCTCGGTTGTAATGTAGCTTTCTGCTGTATATTGTAGTTAACTAAAAGTACCTCAATTGTAACGTAGCTTTCTGCTGTATAGTGTAGTTAACTAAAAGTACCTTGGTTGTGATGTAGCTTTCTGCGGTATAGTGTAGTTAACTGAAAGTACCTCGATTGTAACATAGCTATCTGCTGTATAGTGTAGTGTCTTTAATAGTTAACTAAATGTACCCAGGTTGTAACATAGCTTTCTGCTGTATAGTGTAGTGTCTTTAATAGTTAACTAAATGTACCCAGGTTGTAACGTAGCTTTCTGCTGTTTTGTGCAGTGTAGTTAACTACATGTACCTCGATTGTAACGTAGCTTTCTGCTGTATAGTGTAGTTAACTAAATGTACCTCAATTGTAACGTAGCTTTCTGCTGTATAGTGTAGTTAACTAAATGTACCTCAATTGTAACGTAGCTTTCTGCTGTATAGTGTAGTTAACTAAAAGTACCTCGCTTGTAACGTAGCTTTCTGCTGTATAGTGTAGTGTCTTTAATAGTTAACTAAAAGTACCTCGATTGTAACATAGCTTTCTGCTGTATAGTGTAGTGTCTTTAATAGTTAACTAAATGTACATAGGTTGTAACATAGCTTTCTGCGGTATAGTGTAGTTAACTGAAAGTACCTCGATTGTAACATAGCTATCTGCTGTATAGTGTAGTGTCTTTAATAGTTAACTAAATGTACCCAGGTTGTAACATAGCTTTCTGCTGTATAGTGTAGTGTCTTTAATAATTAACTAAATGTACCCAGGTTGTAACGTAGCTTTCTGCTGTTTTGTGCAGTGTAGTTAACTAAATGTACCTCAATTGTAACGTAGCTTTCTGCTGTATAGTGTAGTTAACTAAAAGTACCTCGCTTGTAACGTAGCTTTCTGCTGTATAGTGTAGTGTCTTTAATAGTTAACTAAAAGTACCTCGATTGTAACATAGCTTTCTGCTGTATAGTGTAGTGTAGTTAACTAAAAGTACCTCGGTTGTAATGTAGCTTTCTGCTGTATAGTGTAGTGTCTTTAATAGTTAACTAAATGTACCTCAATTGTAACGTAGCTTTCTGCTGTATAGTGTAGTGTCTTTAATAGTTAACTAAATGTACCTCGGTTGTAACATAGCTTTCTGCTGTATAGTGTATTGAACTAAAAGTACCTCGATTGTAACGTAGCTTTCTGCTGTATAGTGTAGTGTCTTTAATAGTTAACTAAAAGTACCTCGATTGTAACATAGCTTTCTGCTGTATAGTGTAGTGCCTTTAATAGTTAACTAAAAGTACCTCGATTGTAACATAGCTTTCTGCTGTATAGTGTAGTTAATAAAATGTACCTCGGTTGTAACATAGCTTTCTGCTGTATAGTGTAGTGTAGTTAACTAAAAGTACCTCGATTGTAACATAGCTTTCTGTAACCTTTAATAGTAGCTTTCTGCTGTATTGTGTAGTGTAGTTAACTAAAAGTACCTCCATTGTAACATAGCTTTCTGCTGTATAGTGTAGTTAACTAAAAGTACCTCCATTGTAACATAGCTTTCTGCTGTATAGTGTAGTTAACTAAAAGTACCTCCATTGTAATGTAGCTTTATGCTGTATAGTGTAGTGCCTTTAATAGTTAACTAAAAGTAACTCCATTGTAATGTAGCTTTCTACTGTATAGTGTAGTTTCTTTAATAGTTAACTAAAAGTACCTCCATTGTAACGCAGCTTCCTGCTGTATAGTGTAGTGTAGTTAACTAAAAGTACCTCGATTGTAACGTAGCTTTCTGCTGTATAGTGTAGTTAACTAAAGTACCTCGATTGTAACGTAGCTTTCTACTGTATAGTATAGTTTCTTTAATAGTTAACTAAAAGTACCTCCATTGTAACGTAGCTTCCTGCTGTATAGTGTAGTGTAGTTAACTAAAAGTACCTCGGTTGTAACATAGCTTTCTGCTGTATAGTGTAGTGTAGTTAACTAAAAGTACCTCCATTGTAACGTAGCTTCCTGCTGTATAGTGTAGTGTAGTTAACTAAAAGTACCTCCATTGTAATGTAGCTTTCTGCTGCATAGTGTAATGTTTTTAATAGTTAACTAAAAGTACCTCAATTATAATGTAGCTTTATGCTGTATTGTGAAGTGACTTTAATAGTTAACTAAAAATACCTGGATGGTAACGTAGCTTCCTGCTGTATAGGTTACAGTGTCTTCAAATGGTAGGATAGTTGGATTTTCTGTAAATAATATACTGAACGGAACTTCAAAATTGTCCATATGGATTGTGTAGTGCTGGTAACATGGGCAGGTATCTGCTTGTCGTCGCTTCCTTCTCCTTGAGGGGTTGTATTGTGGTACATTACATTTCATTGAAGAGTCATTGATCACAGTACAAGGATCCTGTACAATAAAACATGACACACTGACATTTGGGCAAGAATTCGCTAATGAAATTTTAGTGTCAAAGTAGTTTATCCACTAAAAAACAAACAAAATCATGCAAGTATGGAGAATAAACATTGCTTAAATATTAAAGTTGGTTTATTTTTATCGTCATATGAAAAAAAAAATTGATCTCACTGATTAAATAACAAGGAAGCAGAACAAGTTGTACACCGTCAGTGGATAAATTATAGGCAAAAACTGTGACATTTCTGCAGCAGTGAAACTCTGAGTCATATTTATGTTAATCAACTGCAAAATGATCGGTCTATCGATAAAAACGCTTGTTTTATGCAGGATTTGATTAATGCTGCGAAAAAAATAGGACTAAAAATAGACCAATATATGTAATTTTTCGCATCAACAAACGTTACGTGCATATTTCCCTCAGTAAAGTTTGGAAATGCATCATCGACACGGCATTTGCAAATTTACGAAGTGTCAACACAAGGTACGATATGATTGTCGTAATTTTCATCAATCAACTGGAGTTGGGGAAATAAAATATAATTAATTTTCATGTCCAAACTACCCTAAAATACCCCCTCTCTTTGGAACAGTTGTATTTCTGTAGCAGATCGAATAACGATAATGTTTTTGTGACATTTCAACCCCCTCCCAGTATTGTTAACACGTGACTATGCAGTGTTCCCAAATGGCATCTACCTGTGTAGAGGAACTCAAGGAGACCACAGAATCTGGTAATTTTCATCACGTAATGAAGTGTTATGCACACATTCGGAATAAAATATGATCTTTGATAATGTTGTGTGATTTTTTCTTTGCATTTTTCAGCAAAAACCCAAGTAGATCTGGTATTTGAAACAGGTTTTACCTCACGATAACGATTTTTTGTGGGAACGATTTCCGTATGTATCCTTGACCCAAAAATAGTTGCACTTTTTGGTGTCAATGTTACATGCGACTACTTAAACGATATTATATTTGAGATATATGAGAGTATAATTATAATTTACATACAGATAGTGTATTTGGGATTTTTTATATGGTTTAATAGCATTTCTGGCATGCTTAATGATTCATATTTTTTGTGTCCATGTTACATACAACATATGTGTAACTACTTTATTACTGAAATGAGAAGGTTGCAAAAATATTGATAGAATTTTCTTTATACAACAGTAACACAATGAAAAAATGACTTTTCTTGTTTACTAAGAAAATTCTGATTATATTTATCTCTTAATAACTGCATGTAACATTGACAGAACAATAAGAGGAAACCTGTTTTCATAGAATTTCTGAAATACATGATAAATTTGAAAATGCAATTTTTTAAGTCCAAATGATGGACAATGTTTGAGATAAACAAACCTAAAACTAATCTTTAAACAGGTCAAATAACCATCAATCTCAGTTTGGGAATAGTGTCAATGTTACATACTCTAAATTCATTAATTCTCTTTGTTCTTAACTGAAATAAGTTTCAAATATTTTTTTCTTGTTACACATAGAAAGACACCATTTACAGTTATACTTCAAACAAAATTTGTAGGCTTATGAATATTTTTATTTTCTTCTTGCAATGTCACACTTAGGGTTACATTAGCTAATTCTTGCTGATATGATATTAACTGCAGGATTACAAACATAATTACATGATCATATCCTTAATTGATATCAATTCCTTATAGCACTAACAGGATATGTTAAAACAGACAATTGTCCATGTAAATTACAGCAATGAAGAAGTGTATTCATGACAGAAACTCACACAGTTCAGGGCTCTCAATCTGCCAGATTCGGGGCCGATATTGGGCCCCATTCCCAATGCAAAATAGTATCTTTTTTTCCCAATTTAGACCCCAAGTTTTCCCAATTCTAAGGGCCCCAGACCCCAGTCCCAAAATGGGGTGTGAGAGCCCTGCAGTTACAGTTCAGTTCAGTTGCATGCGAAAAAAGAACAAAGGGCAATAACTCTGTCAAACAGTTCAACCTTACCTGGCCTATTCTAGGAATGGACACAGCTGTGAATCTCTCTCCTGTTATGTTCATATCAACACCACCACTGTCAACATAAAGACATGATGCTACATCAATTCATAGAAATAATGCTTATCGTCAAGCATCCTTCCATTTAGTTAAGTTAAACAAAATCCACCAAATGTTTTTCAATATCAGCTTAGAAAAAAATGATATTCAAATGTCAGAATCAGACATAAGAAGTACAGGTTTTCAATAAGCTATTTCAGACAAAATATCCTTATAATGTCTACGTTAAATTTAGCTAAGTTTTTGAGAAGGGTAATCCCCTCAATGCAATCCAATTCTGGCAGTATAATTGTGTTATGTTCTTCAGCCCAGCAAGTGCATACAATGTGTACAATTCTGGTTACAAGGAACCCCAGTCCCTATATACAATTCTGGTTACAAGGAACCTCAGTCCCTATATACAATTCTGGTTACAAGGAGGAACCTCAGTCCCTATATACAATTCTGGTTACAAGGAACCTCAGTCCCTATATACAATTCTGGTTACAAGGAACCTCAGTCCCTATATACAATTCTGGTTACAAGGAACCTCAGTCCCTATATACAATTCTGGTTACAAGGAACCTCAGTCCCTATATACAATTCTGGTTACAAGGAACCTCAGTCCCTATATACAATTCTGGTTACAAGGAGGAACCTCAGTCCCTATATACAATTCTGGTTACAAGGAACCTCAGTCCCTATATACAATTCTGGTTACAAGGAACCTCAGTCCCTATATACAATTCTGGTTACAAGGAACCTCAGTCCCTATATACAATTCTGGTTACAAGGAACCTCAGTCCCTATATACAATTCTGGTTACAAGGAACCTCAGTCCCTATATACAATTCTGTTTACAGGGAACCTCAGTCCCTATATACAATTCTGGTTACAAGGAACCTCAGTCCCTATATACAATTCTGTTTACAGGGAACCTCAGTCCCTATATACAATTCTGGTTACAAGGAGGAACCTCAGTCCCTATATACAATTCTGGTTACAAGGAACCTCAGTCCCTATATACAATTCTGGTTACAAGGAACCTCAGTCCCTATATACAATTCTGGTTACAAGGAACCTCAGTCCCTATATACAATTCTGGTTACAAGGAACCTCAGTCCCTATATACAATTCTGGTTACAAGGAACCTCAGTCCCTATATACAATTCTGGTTACAAGGAACCTCAGTCCCTATATACAATTCTGGTTACAAGGATCCTCAGTTCCTATATACAATTCTGGTTACAAGGATCCTCAGTCCCTATATACAATTCTGTTTACAAGGATCCTCAGTTCCTATATACAATTCTGGTTACAAGGAGGAACCTCAGTCCCTATATACAATTCTGGTTACAAGGATCCTCAGTCCCTATATACAATTCTGGTTACAGGGAACCTCAGTTCCTATATACAATTCTGGTTACAAGGAACCTCAGTCCCTATATACAATTCTGGTTACAAGGAACCTCAGTCCCTATATACAATTCTGGTTACAAGGAACCTCAGTCCCTATATACAATTCTGGTTACAAGGAACCTCAGTCCCTATATATAATTCTGGTTACAAGGAACCTCAGTCCCTATATACAATTCTGGTTACAAGGAACCTCAGTCCCTATATACAATTCTGTTTACAGGGAACCTCAGTCCCTATATACAATTCTGGTTACAAGGAACCTCAGTCCCTATATACAATTCTGGTTACAAGGAGGAACCTCAGTCCCTATATACAATTCTGGTTACAAGGAACCTCAGTCCCTATATACAATTCTGGTTGCAAGGAACCTCAGTCCCTATATACAATTCTGTTTACAGGGAACCTCAGTCCCTATATACAATTCTGGTTACAAGGAACCTCAGTCCCTATATACAATTCTGGTTACAAGGAACCTCAGTCCCTATATACAATTCTGTTTACAGGGAACCTCAGTCCCTATATACAATTCTGGTTACAAGGAGGAACCTCAGTCCCTATATACAATTCTGGTTACAGGGAACCTCAGTCCCTATATACAATTCTGGTTACAGGGAACCTCAGTCCCTATATACAATTCTGGTTACAAGGAACCTCAGTCCCTATATACAATTCTGGTTACAAGGAGGAACCTCAGTTCCTATATACAATTCTGGTTACAAGGAGGAACCTCAGTCCCTATATACAATTCTGGTTACAAGGAACCTCAGTCCCTATATACAATTCTGGTTACAAGGAGGAACCTCAGTTCCTATATACAATTCTGGTTACAAGGAGGAACCTCAGTCCCTATATACAATTCTGGTTACAAGGAACCTCAGTCCCTATATACAATTCTGGTTACAAGGAGGAACCTCAGTTCCTATATACAATTCTGGTTACAAGGATCCTCAGTCCCTATATACAATTCTGGTTACAAGGAGGAACCTCAGTCCCTATATACAATTCTGGTTACAAGGAGGAACCTCAGTCCCTATATACAATTCTGGTTACAAGGAGGATCCTCAGTCCCTATATACAATTCTGGTTACAACGAGGAACCTCAGTCCCTATATACAATTCTGGTTACAAGGAACCTCAGTCCCTATATACAATTCTGGTTACAAGGAGGAACCTCAGTTCCTATATACAATTCTGGTTACAAGGATCCTCAGTCCCTATATACAATTCTGGTTACAAGGAGGAACCTCAGTCCCTATATTCAATTCTGGTTACAAGGAGGAACCTCAGTCCCTATATACAATTCTGGTTACAAGGAGGAACCTCAGTCCCTATATACAATTCTGGTTACAAGGATCCTCAGTCCCTATATACAATTCTGGCTACAAGGAACCCCAGTTCCTATATACAATTCTGGCTACAAGGAACCTCAGTCCCTATATACAATTCTGGTTACAGGGAACCTCAGTCCCTATATACAATTCTGTTTACAGGGAACCTCAGTCCCTATATACAATTCTGGTTACAAGGAACCTCAGTCCCTATATACAATTCTGGCTACAAGGAACCTCAGTTCCTATATACAATTCTGGTTACAAGGAGGAACCTCAGTTCCTATATACAATTCTGGTTACAAGGATCCTCAGTCCCTATATACAATTCTGGTTACAAGGAGGAACCTCAGTCCCTATATACAATTCTGGTTACAAGGAGGAACCTCAGTCCCTATATACAATTCTGGTTACAAGGAGGATCCTCAGTCCCTATATACAATTCTGGTTACAAGGAACCTCAGTCCCTATATACAATTCTGGTTACAAGGAGGAACCTCAGTTCCTATATACAATTCTGGTTACAAGGAGGAACCTCAGTCCCTATATACAATTCTGGTTACAAGGAGGATCCTCAGTCCCTATATACAATTCTGGTTACAAGGAACCTCAGTCCCTATATACAATTCTGTTTACAAGGAGGAACCTCAGTCCCTATATACAATTCTGGTTACAAGGAGGAACCTCAGTCCCTATATACAATTCTGGTTACAAGGAGGAACCTCAGTCCCTATATACAATTCTGGTTACAAGGAGGAACCTCAGTCCCTATATACAATTCTGGTTACAAGGAGGATCCTCAGTCCCTATATACAATTCTGGTTACAAGGAGGAACCTCAGTCCCTATATACAATTCTGGTTACAAGGAGGAACCTCAGTTCCTATATACAATTCTGGTTACAAGGAGGAACCTCAGTCCCTATATACAATTCTGGTTACAAGGAGGATCCTCAGTCCCTATATACAATTCTGGTTACAAGGAACCTCAGTCCCTATATACAATTCTGTTTACAAGGAGGAACCTCAGTCCCTATATACAATTCTGGTTACAAGGAACCTCAGTCCCTATATACAATTCTGGTTACAGGGAACCTCAGTCCCTATATACAATTCTGGTTACAAGGAACCTCAGTCCCTATATACAATTCTGGTTACAAGGAGGAACCTCAGTTCCTATATACAATTCTGGTTACAGGGAACCTCAGTCCCTATATACAATTCTGGTTACAAGGAACCTCAGTCCCTATATACAATTCTGGTTACAAAGAGGAACCTCAGTCCCTATATACAATTCTGGTTACAAGGAGGAACCTCAGTTCCTATATACAATTCTGGTTACAGGGAACCCCAGTCCCTATATACAATTCTGGTTACAAGGAACCTCAGTCCCTATATACAATTCTGGTTACAAGGAGGAACCTCAGTTCCTATATACAATTCTGGTTACAGGGAACCTCAGTCCCTATATACAATTCTGGTTACAAGGTACCTCAGTCCCTATATACAATTCTGGTTACAAGGAGGAACCTCAGTCCCTATATACAATTCTGGTTACAAGGAGGAACCTCAGTTCCTATATACAATTCTGGTTACAGGGAACCCCAGTCCCTATATACAATTCTGGTTACAAGGAACCTCAGTCCCTATATACAATTCTGGTTACAAGGAGGAACCTCAGTCCCTATATACAATTCTGGTTACAAGGAGGAACCTCAGTCCCTATATACAATTCTGGTTACAAGGAGGAACCTCAGTCCCTATATACAATTCAGTATCAACTTGGCCTTAATCAGGTACAAGTTTGCTTGCATCACAAAAAGAAGGCAAAGAATCAGAAGGGTCTCACTATGGTTGACCTGGGTGTGAATGCTTTCCCAGAGACAAAGACCTGTATGTATATGCCCTCGTTACTTGCAGGCAACTCCAATGCAGGTGTCAAGCAGGTAATTACAGTATCTGTATGTGGCTCTGAGATACCATAGGCTTGTCTGGAAGCCATCCATGTGCCTATCACACTAGCAAACTTACACATAATGCAACAATTATCCTGAAAATTCCATACATGCACCAAGCCGGTGTTTGAGTTAGGAACAGTGTGACCGGAATTTTACCAGTAAAATAATTGGATTTGCATTGTTGTGGAGAAAATACTACAATTATCTAGAATTCAAACAACTTACCCCATAAACGCTTGTGTACGTCCAATATTAATGATGGGATTATCCACGAAAGTAAAAACCATGTTTCCAGTTATATTGTATTTGGCATCATCATAGGTCACAGAAACGGAGGTCAAATGATAAGGCAGTTTTGTACCTCTGTAGGCTCCGAGCATACAAACAATCTCACTGTTATTCCTCTGTATAAGTGCATCACCAATTCTACAACAAATTGATAAGACTGACAATAGATCCCTCTTCATCAAGAAACGACAGAAAATATGCAATATCTTCATTATAAATACGAGTAACATTGGGCGGAACACTTAATGTCCATCCCATGCCAAAGAAATATGATTTATTGTACAGAAAAGGATAATAATGAGTCATGACTGTACAATGACAAGAGGGAAAACAGTCCTATATATCTAAATGGTAAAGCCAAGGGAGGAAACTAACACAAATCTCTGGACAAAATGCTGAAAAGAACAAAGGGCAGGAACATTTTGAAAAAAGTCAAAATGTTGTTTATAAAAGCACAATCTCATGTTATGGTAGGAAGGCCTTCCAAGTTTCAAAGAAATTGTTTATAAACTTTGGTTGAAAACAAAGGGAGGAAATATCTGGACAAGATGAATATTTGTCAAAAAAATAAAGGGCAATAACTCTTTCAAAAATTGTAAAATCACAATATCAATAAGGAAAATAAAATCTAGTGTAACGGTGATGAAGCCTACCAAGTTTCAAAGAAATTGGTTGAAACGTGATCTTTGAACGAGTTTAACTTTATCAAAATAGCAAGGGACATTAGCTCTTCCAGATACAGTCAAATAAAAATGACATTCACGAAAACACAACTTAACGTCATGGTGAATTGTTCTCAGACTAAAGCGGTGTCATTATTTTATACTGACTTAATAAAAAACTTGTCAACCCAAAATGTTTAATAAACATGATTTCATCCACTTTATAATTTGTATCTGATATGGACATATTGCTTAATAAACATACTTCAGTATGTACCATTATTTGTCTTTCCTGGAGAAGAAATCTCTCATAACAAGAGAATGAAAGTGCTCCTTATATTTACAACAGCATGATATAGTAAGAGTAGAATTTTAAAGAATTTATTCTATTACCCTTATTGGGCCCTGTCCCTCAGGTACTAGAGGGCCGAGACCTAAAATTTATACAAAATTGATTTCCCTTCACCAAACAATGCTTTAGTCATCTATGACTAGTAGCAATTTGTATGAAAAAGTTAATGGATGGATAATGGACGGACAGTGGAAAGACAATAGACACAATGGACAGACAATGGACAGTCAATGGACTGACAATGGACAGACAGTGGACAGATAATGGACAGACAATGGACAGTCAATGGACTGACAATCGACAGACAATGGATGGACAATGGACAGACAATGGACAGTCAATGGACTGACAATGGATTGACAGTGGACAGACAATGGACAGACAATGGACAGTCAATGGACAGACAATGGACAGTCAATGGATGGACAATGGACGGACAATGGACAGTCAATGGACTGACAATGGACGGACAATGGACGGCCAATGAACAGACAATGGACAGACAATGGATAGTCAATGGATGGACAATGGACAGACAATGGACAGTCAATGGATGGACAATGGACTGACAATGGACAGTCAATGGACTGACAATGGACGGACAATGGACGGCCAATGAACAGACAATGGACAGACAATGGATAGTCAATGGATGGACAATGGACAGATAATGGACAGACAATCGACAGACAATGGATGGACAATGGACGGGCAATAAACAGACAATGGATGGACAATGGATGGACAATGGACAGAAAATGGACGGCAATGGACGGACAATGGACAGACAAGGGACAGACAATGAATGCATGGCCGCGGTATGGCATACCCTTGGACCTTTGAGCCAGGTGAGCTAAAAACAAAGGGTAATAATTCTCAACTTCCAAAAACTGCAAAATGAAAATGATGTGCAAGAAACACAGTTTAGTTGCTGAATTTCATGGGATTGATATCTGGTCGATGTTAGACAACTTTACAGGTGTCACAGTTTGTGTCGATACATTGTCACCAATACTTGGGAGATCACATATATTATACAAGATTTAGATTCAGAGTGAAAATGTTTGCAGGGTATTTGATGCTAAATTTAATGACCATTAATGCTGCATGTTTCAAAAAGATAGTTGACAAGTCAGATAAGAGGCTTAAGTGGCCTTGACGGTCACCTGAGATAAGCAATATTGAATATAAAGGTTAAAAGGGTAAGTTGCTTTCAAGTGTCATGAAAAAAATTGTAACATTGATGATAGTAAGCCAGTGTCAATAGATGCAAAACTATCATCCTATACTTATAATTCTTACTAAGTTCTTTCCAGTGGGAAATAAACGATGTTAGGCTCAAAAATGTGATTTTTCTATAAAAATTGTAGTAAAGTTAACGTCCTAGGTAGAAATGTGACATCCACTTTGGTAAAACACTTTTCATCCATGGAGAGCATTTCATTCTATCATATATGGTTGTTCAGAAGGAGATTTATGAAATCAATTTTACCTCTTTTGGCCCCACCCATCAGCCCCTAGGGGTCAACTTGGATCAATATGGGCATATCATCTTTAGCTCATAATTCTAATCAAGTTTGAAATATTTCCAATCGAAAGTACAACAAATTATGCTCAAAAATCTTTTTTTCTACATAAACAGTAATAAAATCTACCCCCTCCCCACGTGGAAATCATTGAAATCACTTCAGGGGGTTTGAGAAGAAGTTGACAATGCATGATGTCGGAAAAAGGGGATTGAAGTGGATGTTTTTAGTGAGGGATGAGGAGTGGTTGGGGTTTCTTCAATATAAGAGTTTTTTTTGGATTTAAAGGTCGACTTGGGGATGCTGTTATTTAGACAATGAAATGGTTACATTAGTTTTTATCTCACATGCATGAAAATGCTTCTTCCTGATTATAAAGCAGCACATTGATGCGATCTCGATTGCTGATGAGTAGATTCTTTCCTTTTATTGTCAATATTCTGCCGCCAGCCATGATTCCAACTAATGGGTTAATGGTAAACAATTCTGGAACCTGAAATGAATATATAAAGCAATAAAATTATGTATTTTATTTACAACTCCACAAACAGCTGATTGACTTTGTCACACATCAACAAATTCAGTTTCCTGATAAACAAAAAAACATTAACCTCTCACTATCTATACAAAATTGAAAATAATTCATTTGAGAATTCTTCACACCAAATCTGGACAAATCAAATCATTCCCAAAGGAGGAGTAGAATCTAATAAAGAATTTGCCTATTGCTCTTCCCCCGCCCCTACCTGACCTCATGCCCCTGGTGTTCAGGACTCACTCTTGATAAATATTTTATTCCCCTTTATCCAAGAATACTTCAGACCAAATTTAGACAAATCCAATTATTCCTACAGGAGGAGTAGGAGTTTAAAGAATAAAATCTATTTCTGCTACTTGCCCCCTCCCTTCCAACACCAGGGTGCCAAGACTCAACAAAATTGAAAACAATCATTTAAGGATTCTTCAGACCAAATATGGGCAATACCCAATCATTCTCAAATTTGGAGTAGAGTTTTAAAAATATTTGCTCTATGTCCCCTATTGGGCCCCTCCAATCTTGCCCTTGGAGGTCAATGCTCAATGTTTATATAAAATTGATTTCCCTTCATCCAAAAAAACTTCAAACTATATTTGAGGAAAATCCAATCATTCCTACAGGAGAGGTAGGATTTTCAAGACTTGGCTCTATTTCCCCTATTGAGTCTTGCCTCTCCAGCCTCAGGTGGCTGAAGTCCACCATTTATACACATTAATCCCCCTTCACCTAAGAATGCTTCAGAATGAAATCCAATCATTCCTAAAGTGGAGTAAGATTTTAAAGATAGTTGCAAAATTCCCATTTTTGACCTCATTCCTCAAGCACTGGTGGGCCTAGACCCACCTTTCATACAAAATTGGTCCAACTTCCCCTAAGGATGCTTCAGACCAAATTGGGTTAAAATCCTCTCATTTGGTTATGACTAATTGCAACTTATATGAAAAGATGACAGAAGATGTACAGATTATGGATGTTGTGTTATTCCTATAGCTCATTTGGGTTTTCGGGCCAGGTGAGCAAAAAAGCAATACCTAGTGACCAAGCCAGGGAAACCATCTGTCCAGTGCTTCTACAGAAAAAGCAATACCTCGTGACCAAGCTAGTGACCAAGCCAGGGAAACCATCTGTCCAATGCTTCTACAGAAAAAGCAATAACGAGTGACCAAGCCAGGGAAACCATCTGTCCAGTGCTTCTACAGAAACAGCAATACCTAGTGACCAAGCCAGGGAAACCATCTGTCCAGTGCTTCTACAGAAAAAGCAATAACTAGTGACCAAGCCAGGGAAACCATCTGTCCAGTGCTTCTACAGAAAAAGCAATAACGAGTGACCAAGCCAGGGAAACCATCTGTCCAGTGCTTCTACAGAAAAAGCATTAACTAGTGACCAAGCCAGGGAAACCATCTGTCCAGTGCTTCTACAGAAAAAGCAATAACGAGTGACCAAGCCAGGGAAACCATCTGTCCAGTGCTTCTACAGAAAAAGCAATATCTAGTGACCAAGCCAGGGAAACCATCTGTCCAGTGCTTCTAGTGCAATACCTCTGACAAGCCAAAAAACCATCTGTCCAGTGCTTCTACAGAAAAAGCAATAACTAGTGACCAAGCCAGGGAAACCATCTGTCCAGTGCTTCTACAGAAAAAGCAATAACTAGTGACCAAGCCAGGGAAACCATCTGTCCAGTGCTTCTACAGAAAAAGCATTAACTAGTGACCAAGCCAGGGAAACCATCTGTCCAGTGCTTCTACAGAAAAAGCATTAACTAGTGACCAAGCCAGGGAAACCATCTGTCCAGTGCTTCTACAGAAACAGCAATACCTAGTGACCAAGCCAGGGAAACCATCTGTCCAGTGCTTCTACAGAAACAGCAATAACTAGTGACCAAGCCAGGGAAACCATCTGTCCAGTGCTTCTACAGAAACAGCAATAACTAGTGACCAAGCCAGGGAAACCATCTGTCCAGTGCTTCTACAGAAAAAGCAATATCTAGTGACCAAGCCAGGGAAACCATCTGTCCAGTGCTTCTACAGAAAAAGCATTAGAAGGGAAACCATCTGTCAAGTGCTTCTACAGAAAAGCAATGACCAAGCCAGGGAAACCATCTGTCCAGTGCTTCTACAGAAAAAGCAATAACGAGTGACCAAGCCAGGGAAACCATCTGTCCAGTGCTTCTACAGAAAAAGCATTAACTAGTGACCAAGCCAGGGAAACCATCTGTCCAGTGCTTCTACAGAAAAAGCATTAACTAGTGACCAAGCCAGGGAAACCATCTGTCCAGTGCTTCTACAGAAACAGCAATACCTAGTGACCAAGCCAGGGAAACCATCTGTCCAGTGCTTCTACAGAAAAAGCAATAACTAGTGACCAAGCCAGGGAAACCATCTGTCCAGTGCTTCTACAGAAAAAGCAATAACTAGTGACCAAGCCAGGGAAACCATCTGTCCAGTGCTTCTACAGAAAAAGCAATAACTAGTGACCAAGCCAGGGAAACCATCTGTCCAGTGCTTCTACAGAAAAAGCAATAACTAGTGACCAAGCCAGGGAAACCATCTGTCCAGTGCTTCTACAGAAAAAGCAATAACGAGTGACCAAGCCAGGGAAACCATCTGTCCAGTGCTTCTACAAAAAAAGCATTAACTAGTGACCAAGCCAGGGAAACCATCTGTCCAGTGCTTCTACAGAACAAGCATTAACTAGTGACCAAGCCAGGGAAACCATCTGTCCAGTGCTTCTACAGAAAAAGCAATAACTAGTGACCAAGCCAGGGAAACCATCTGTCCAGTGCTTCTACAGAAAAAGCAATAACTAGTGACCAAGCCATGGAAACCATCTGTCCAGTGCTTCTACAGAAAAAGCAATAACGAGTGACCAAGCCAGGGAAACCATCTGTCCAGTGCTTCTACAGAAAAAGCATTAACTAGTGACCAAGCCAGGGAAACCATCTGTCCAGTGCTTCTACAGAAAAAGCAATAACTAGTGACCAAGCCAGGGAAACCATCTGTCCAGTGCTTCTACAGAAAAAGCAATAACGAGTGACCAAGCCAGGGAAACCATCTGTCCAGTGCTTCTACAGAAAAAGCATTAACTAGTGACCAAGCCAGGGAAACCATCTGTCCAGTGCTTCTACAGAAAAAGCAATAACTAGTGACCAAGCCAGGGAAACCATCTGTCCAGTGCTTCTACAGAAAAAGCAATAACTAGTGACCAAGCCAGGGAAACCATCTGTCCAGTGCTTCTACAGAAACAGCAATAACTAGTGACCAAGCCAGGGAAACCATCTGTCCAGTGCTTCTACAGAAAAAGCATTAACTAGTGACCAAGCCAGGGAAACCATCTGTCCAGTGCTTCTACAGAAAAAGCATTAACTAGTGACCAAGCCAGGGAAACCATCTGTCCAGTGCTTCTACAGAAAAAGCAATAACTAGTGACCAAGCCAGGGAAACCATCTGTCCAGTGCTTCTACAGAAAAAGCATTAGAAGGGAAACCATCTGTCAAGTGCTTCTACAGAAAAAGCAATACCTAGTGACCAAGCCAGGGAAACCATCTGTCCAGTGCTTCTACAGAAAAAGCAATAACGAGTGACCAAGCCAGGGAAACCATCTGTCCAGTGCTTCTACAGAAAAAGCATTAACTAGTGACCAAGCCAGGGAAACCATCTGTCCAGTGCTTCTACAGAAAAAGCAATAACTAGTGACCAAGCCAGGGAAACCATCTGTCCAGTGCTTCTACAGAAAAGCAATAACTAGTGACCAAGCCAGGGAAACCATCTGTCCAGTGCTTCTACTTAAAAAGCAATAACTAGTGACCAAGCCAGGGAAACCATCTGTCCAGTGCTTCTACAGAAAAGCAATACCTAGTGACCAAGCCAGGGAAACCATCTGTCCAGTGCTTCTACAGAAACAGCAATAACTAGTGACCAAGCCAGGGAAACCATCTGTCCAGTGCTTCTACAGAAAAAGCAATAACTAGTGACCAAGCCAGGGAAACCATCTGTCCAGTGCTTCTACAGAAAAAGCAATACCTAGTGTGACCAAGCCAGGGAAACCATCTGTCCAGTGCTTCTACAGAAAAAGCATTAACTAGTGACCAAGCCAGGGAAACCATCTGTCCAGTGCTTCTACAGAAAAAGCAATAACGAGTGACCAAGCCAGGGAAACCATCTGTCCAGTGCTTCTACAGAAAAAGCATTAACTAGTGACCAAGCCAGGGAAACCATCTGTCCAGTGCTTCTACAGAAAAAGCAATAACTAGTGACCAAGCCAGGGAAACCATCTGTCCAGTGCTTCTACAGAAAAAGCAATAACTAGTGACCAAGCCAGGGAAACCATCTGTCCAGTGCTTCTACAGAAAAAGCAATAACGAGTGACCAAGCCAGGGAAACCATCTGTCCAGTGCTTCTACAGAAAAAGCAATAACGAGTGACCAAGCCAGGGAAACCATCTGTCCAGTGCTTCTACAGAAAAAGCATTAACTAGTGACCAAGCCAGGGAAACCATCTGTCCAGTGCTTCTACAGAAAAAGCAATACCTAGTGACCAAGCCAGGGAAACCATCTGTCCAGTGCTTCTACAGAAAAAGCAATAACGAGTGACCAAGCCAGGGAAACCATCTGTCCAGTGCTTCTACAGAAAAAGCATTAACTAGTGACCAAGCCAGGGAAACCATCTGTCCAGTGCTTCTACAGAAAAAGCAATACCTAGTGACCAAGCCAGGGAAACCATCTGTCCAGTGCTTCTACAGAAAAAGCAATACCTAGTGACCAAGCCAGGGAAACCATCTGTCCAGTGCTTCTACAGAAAAAGCAATACCTAGTGACCAAGCCAGGGAAACCATCTGTCCAGTGCTTCTACAGAAAAAGCATTAGCTAGTGACCAAGCCAGGGAAACCATCTGTCCAGTGCTTCTACAGAAAAAGCATTAACTAGTGACCAAGCCAGGGAAACCATCTGTCCAGTGCTTCTACAGAAAAAGCATTAACTAGTGACCAAGCCAGGGAAACCATCTGTCCAGTGCTTCTACAGAAAAAGCAATATCTAGTGACCAAGCCAGGGAAACCATCTGTCCAGTGCTTCTACAGAAAAAGCATTAGCAGGGAAACCATCTGTCAAGTGCTTCTACAGAAAAAGCAATACCTAGTGACCAAGCCAGGGAAACCATCTGTCCAGTGCTTCTACAAAGCAATAACGAGTGACCAAGCCAGGGAAACCATCTGTCCAGTGCTTCTACAGAAAAAGCATTAACTAGTGACCAAGCCAGGGAAACCATCTGTCCAGTGCTTCTACAGAAAAAGCAATAACTAGTGACCAAGCCAGGGAAACCATCTGTCCAGTGCTTCTACAGAAAAAGCATTAACTAGTGACCAAGCCAGGGAAACCATCTGTCCAGTGCTTCTACAGAAAAAGCAATAACGAGTGACCAAGCCAGGGAAACCATCTGTCCAGTGATTCTACAAAAAAAGCAATAACTAGTGACCAAGCCAGGGAAACCATCTGTCCAGTGCTTCTTAAGAACTAGGATTTCCTAGTGACCAAGCCAGGGAAACCATCTGTCCAGTGCTTCTACAGAAAAAGCAATAATGAGTGACCAAGCCAAGGAAACCATCTGCCCAGTGCTTCTACAGAAAAAGCAATAACGAGCGACCAAGCCAGGAAAACCATCTGTCCAGTGCTTCTACAGAAAAAGCAATACCTAGTGACCAAGCCAGGGAAACCATCTGTCCAGTGCTTCTACAGAAAAAGCATTAACTAGTGACCAAGCCAGGGAAACCATCTGTCCAGTGCTTCTACAGAAAAAGCAATAACGAGTGACCAAGCCAGGGAAACCATCTGTCCAGTGCTTCTACAAAAAAAGCATTAACTAGTGACCAAGCCAGGGAAACCATCTGTCCAGTGCTTCTACAGAACAAGCAATACCTAGTGACCAAGCCAGGGAAACCATCTGTCCAGTGCTTCTACAGAAAAAGCAATAACTAGTGACCAAGCCAGGGAAACCATCTGTCCAGTGCTTCTACAGAAAAAGCAATAACGAGTGACCAAGCCAGGGAAACCATCTGTCCAGTGCTTCTACAGAAAAAGCAATAATGAGTGACCAAGCCAGGGAAACCATCTGTCCAGTGCTTCTACAGAAAAAGCATTAACTAGTGACCAAGCCAGGGAAACCATCTGTCCAGTGCTTCTACAGAAAAAGCAATAACTAGTGACCAAGCCAGGGAAACCATCTGTCCAGTGCTTCTACAGAAAAAGCAATAACGAGTGACCAAGCCAGGGAAACCATCTGTCCAGTGCTTCTACAGAAAAAGCATTAACTAGTGACCAAGCCAGGGAAACCATCTGTCCAGTGCTTCTACAGAAAAAGCAATACCTAGTGACCAAGCCAGGGAAACCATCTGTCCAGTGCTTCTACAGAAAAAGCAATACCTAGTGACCAAGCCAGGGAAACCATCTGTCCAGTGCTTCTACAGAAAAAGCAATACATAGTGACCAAGCTAGGGAAACCGTCTGTCCAGTGCTTCTACAGAAAAAGCATTAGCTAGTGACCAAGCCAGGGAAACCATCTGTCCAGTGCTTCTACAGAAAAAGCATTAACTAGTGACCAAGCCAGGGAAACCATCTGTCCAGTGCTTCTACAGAAAAAGCAATAACGAGTGACCAAGCCAGGGAAACCATCTGTCCAGTGCTTCTACAGAAAAAGCAATAACTAGTGACCAAGCCAGGGAAACCATCTGTCCAGTGCTTCTACAGAAAAAGCAATATCTAGTGACCAAGCCAGGGAAACCATCTGTCCAATGCTTCTACAGAAAAAGCATTAATGGAATTATACAGTTAAAATCCCAGGTGGCCACTTGCCAGCCTTTTCTGAAATCATCGTTAGTCCCAATATCAAACACAATACACAGCTAAGGACCAAGGGCAACATATGCATGAAATTTGACAATGATCCATTCATACATAATTCATATATTTCTAACAACAAGAATGGTGTGAGTACAGATGGACGATAGATGGGCAGATGACAGATCATGGAGGCAAGACAACTTGACAGTGACAGTAGTATAAAAATTGTCAGACCCAGTTTATCAGGTCATATTTAAAGGAAACTCATTCAAGGTGATTCACACCACGAACAATTATACCCAATGGTATGGCATTTTTACATAACTATGCTGCAATTTGACATTTTAGACAAAATGACTTTGACCACTGACCAATGACCCCACAAATGACTAGTGTACATGGTATAAGGCAGCATGACCATCATGAATGCCATCATTGATTTCTAAGCTTACTGGCAGCAACAATTGTGAAATACTTTATTGTTTTATAAATAGGAGGGGTGTGGATGAATACTACTTTCCCAAAAAAGAGGGATGCAGACATAGATACCAGGATTATCTCATGGCTATTCAAAATCAGTGAGGTAAAAATTAACTGACATAACATCTCAGAATAACAAAGAGATAAGTATAACTGATGTTTTTACTTACAAAATAGTCAATAAGTTGTTTGTTTTCAGACAATTTGCCATTCCTAGTAAGGATGACTTCACCGCCTCTAGTTTCTCTTGGCTCATTCCTGGTGTAGCACTTGATCCTGTCATAACACAGGCCACACAAAAATTATTGTAATATATTAAACAAGAGGCCAATTAGGCCTGTGGTGATATTTGAATGATAATACATGTAATTGTTGATCTTTGTTTAAGACATTTCAGTAAAAGTTACAGATAAATGTTACCCACCACTGATTGGGAAAGAAATTGTAAGCATAGATATCACACACGTTTCCAGACACATTGATACCGACATCTTGTATGTTGCTTCCAAGTTCTGTTCCGTGAATGTGTAATGATGTATTTCCAAAAACGGTACCATTTAGTGGACTTATCTGGCACAGAAACAAGAATACATACATGATTAAAATCTATTCACCAATTATGAAACAAAATGGATTAGAATAGTAACAATCTTAAGATTCTTTGAATCATTTCTGATAGACATTAACAACAACACCAATGAAAAGAAAAGAAAACATGTTTGTGAAATTATCATTACAAAAGGATATTCAGTGTGATTTTTCGTGGCAGGATGTGTATTTTCCTTTTTGTAAAATTGTACATGTACCACAAACCTGTATACCTCACACCTGTATACATGTACCACAAACCTGTACACCTCACACCTGTATACATGTACCACAAACCTGTACACCTCACACCTGTATACATGTACCACAAACCTGTACACCTCACACCTGTATACATGTACCACATATCTACACCTCACACCTGTATACATGTACCACATATCTGTACACCTCACACCTGTATACATGTACCATAAACCTGTACACCTTACACCTGTATACATGTACAGCATATCTGTACACCTCACACCTGTATACATGTACCACAAACTTGTAAACCTCACACCTGTATACATGTACCACAAACCTGTACATCTCACACCTGTATACATGTACCACAAACCTGTACACCTCACACCTGTATACATGTACCACATATCTGTACACCTCACACCTGTATACATGTACCACAAACCTGTACATCTCACACCTGTATACATGTACCACACCTGTACACCACATCACACACCTGTATACATGTACCACAAACCTGTACACCTCACACCTGTATACATGTACCACATATCTGTACACCTCACACCTGTATACATGTACCACAAACCTGTACACCTAACACCTGTATACATGTACCACATATCTGTACACCTCACAATCATACATCATACACCAGTATATCTCACAACTGTATACATGTACCACATATCTGTACACCTCACACCTGTATACAGGCACCACAAACCTGTACACCTCACACCTGTATACATGTACCACAAACCTGTACACCTCACACCTCACACCTGTATACATGTACCACATATCTGTACACCTCACACCTGTATACAGGCACCACAAACCTGTACACCTCACACGTGTATACATGTACCACAAACCTGTACACCTCACACATTTACACATCACAACAATATATCTCACACTTGTGTATGTCACTCCTGTACACCTCACACCTGTATACATGTACCACAAACCTGTACACCTCACACCTGTATACATGTACCACAAACCTGTACACCTCACACCTGTATACATGTACTACACACCTGTACACCTCACACCTGTATACATGTACCAAAAACCTGTACACTTCACACCTGCATACATGTACCACACACCTATACACCTCACAATTGTACATCATACACCAGTATATCTCACACCTGTATACATGTACCACAAACCTGTACACCTCACACATTTACACATCACAACAATATATCTCACACTTGTATATGTCACCCCTGTACATGTACCACATATCTGTACACCTCACACCTGTATACAGGCACCACAAACCTGTACACCTTACACCTGTATACATGTACCACATATCTGTACACCTCACACCTGTATACATGTACCACAAACCTGTACACCTCACACCTGTATACATGTACCACATATCTGTACACCTCACACCTGTATACATGAACCACAAACCTGTACACCTCACACGTGTATACATGTACCACAAACCTGTACACATGTCACACCTGTACACCTACACATGTACCACACAATATATGTCTCACACTTGTGTATGTCACACCTGTACATGTACACCTGCATACCTCACCTGTATATCTCACACCTGTATACATGTACCACATATCTGTACCTGTATACCTCACACATCTGTACACATCACAACACATTATACAATATATCTCACACTGTATACATGTATATGTACACCTCACACCTGTATACATGTACCACATATCTGTACACCTCACACCTGTATACATGTACCACAAACCTGTACATCTCACACCTGTATACATGTACCACAAACCTGTACACCTCACACCTGTATACATGTACCACAAACCTGTACACCTCACACCTGTATACATGTACCACATATCTGTACACCTCACACCTGTATACATGTACCACATATCTGTACACCTCACACCTGTATACATGTACCACATATCTGTACACCTCACACCTGTATACATGTACCACAAACCTGTACACCTCACACCTGTATACATGTACCACATATCTGTACACCTCACACCTGTATACATGTACCACAAACTTGTAAACATCACAGCTGTATACGTGTACCACAAACCTGTACATCTCACACCTGTATACATGTACCACAAACCTGTACACCTCACACCTGTATACATGTACCACATATCTGTACACCTCACACCTGTATACATGTACCACAAACCTGTACACCTAACACATTTACACATCACAATAATATATCTCACACTTGTGTATGTCACACCTGTACATGTCACACCTGCATACCTCATACCTGTATATCTTACACCTGTATACATGTACCACATATCTGTACACCTCACACCTGTATACATGTACCACATATCTGTACACTTAACACCTGTATACATGTACCACATATCTGTACACCTCACAATCATACATCATACACCAGTATATCTCACAACTGTATACATGTACCACATATCTGTACACCTCACACCTGTATACATGTACCACAAACCTGTACACCTCACACCTGTATACATGTACCACATATCTGTACACCTCACACCTGTATACATGTACCACATATCTGTACACCTCACACCTGTATCACACATTATACACATTTACAGTATATATATCTCACACCTGTATACACCTGTACCACATATACTGTACATCTCACACCTGTATACATGTACCACAAACCTGTACACCTCACACCTGTATACATGTACCACATATCTGTACACTGTATACATGTACCACATCACACCATACATCATACACCAGTATATACATGTACCACATATCTGTACACCTCACACCTGTATACACACCACAAACCTGTACACACACCTGTATACATGTACCACATATCACTGTACACCTCACACCTGTATACATGTACCATATATCTGTACACCTCACACACACCTGTATACATGTACCACAAACCTGTACACCTCACACCTGTATACATGCACCACACACCTGTACACCTCACACCTGTATACATGTACCACAAACCTGTACACCTCACACCTGTATACATGTACCACAAACCTGTACACCTCACACCTGTATACATGTACCACAAACCTGTACACCTCACACCTGTATACATGTACCACATATCTGTACACCTCACACCTGTATACATGTACCACAAACCTGTACACCTCACACACATCACAATACATATATCACACTTGTGTATACACCTGTATACCTGCATACCTCACACCTGTATACATGTACCACAAATCTGTACACCTCACACCTGTATACATGTACCACATATCTGTATACATGTACCACATATCTGTACACCTCACACCTGTATACAGGAACCACAAACCTGTACACCTCACACCTGTATACATGTACCACAAACCTGTACACCTCACACCTGTATACATGTACCACATATCTGTACACCTCACACCTGTATACATGTACCACATATCTGTACACCTCACACCTGTATACATGTACCACATATCTGTACACCTCACACCTGTATACATGTACCACAAACCTGTACACCTTACACCTGTATACATGTACCACATATCTGTACACCTCACACCTGTATACATGTACCACAAACTTGTAAACATCACAGCTGTATACGTGTACCACAAACCTGTACATCTCACACCTGTATACATGTACCACAAACCTGTACACCTCACACCTGTATACACCTGTATACACACAAACCTGTACACCTAACACATTTACACATCACAATAATATATCACTTGTGTATGTCACACCTGTACACCTGTACACATTGTACACATCACAATAATATATCTCACACTTGTGTATGTCACACCTGTATACATGTCACACCTGCATACCTACACCTGTATATCTTACACCTGTATACATGTACCACATATCTGTACACCTCACACCTGTATACATGTACCACATATCTGTACACTTAACACCTGTATACATGTACCACATATCTGTACACCTCACAATCATACATCATACACCAGTATATCTCACAACTGTATACATGTACCACATATCTGTACACCTCACACCTGTATACAGGCACCACAAACCTGTACACCTCACACCTGTATACATGTACCACAAACCTGTACACCTCACACCTGTATACATGTACCACATATCTCACACCTCACAATCACACATTATACACCAGTATATCTCACACCTGTATACATGTACCACATATCTGTATCTGTACACCTCACACCTGTATACATGTACCACAAACCTGTACACCTCACACATTTACACATCACAACAATATATCTCACACTTGTGTATGTCACTCCTGTACACCTCACACCTGTATACATGTACCACAAACCTGTACACCTCACACATTTACACATCACAACAATATATCTCACACTTGTGTATGTCACTCCTGTACACCTCACACCTGTATACATGTACCACAAACCTGTACACCTCACACCTGTATACATGTACCACAAACCTGTACACCTCACACCTGTATACATGTACTACACACCTGTACACCTCACACCTGTATACATGTACCAAAAACCTGTATACTTCACACCTGCATACATGTACCACACACCTATACACCTCACAATCGTACATCATACACCAGTATATCTCACACCTGTATACATGTACCACATATCTGTACACCTCACACCTGTATACATGTACCACAAACCTGTGCACCTCACACATTTACACATCACAACAATATATCTCACACTTGTATATGTCACCCCTGTACATGTCCCACCTGTACACCTCACACCTGTATACATGCACCACAAACCTGTACACCTCACACATTTAAACATCACAACAATATATCTCACAATTGTATATGTCACCCCTGTACATGTCCACCTGTACACCTGTACACCTCACACCTGTATACACCTGTATACTCACTGTGATGTGTGGAGAGGGACAACTTGTGGAATCAACCTCTTTTGCTGTGTTGTAGGAACATTGTCTTCTAAAGGTGTCCCAGCCACACAAATAGCCTTGTGACTTTAGGTAGATACATTGGCTACAACCCTGAGTAAGCTGATCACACCTGTACACTAATAACAGGAACAACCCTGAGTAAGCTGATCACACCTGTACACTAATAACAGAAACAACCCTGAGTAAGCTGATCACACCTGTACACTAATAACAGAAACAACCCTGAGTAAGCTGATCACACCTGTACACTAATAACAGAAACAACCCTGAGTAAGCTGATCACACCTGTACACTAATAACAGAAACAACCCTGAGTAAGCTGATCACACCTGTACACTAATAACAGGAACAACCCTGAGTAAGCTGATCACACCTGTACACTAATAACAGAAACAACCCTGAGTAAGCTGATCACACCTGTACACTAATAACAGAAACAACCCTGAGTAAGCTGATCACACCTGTACACTAATAACAGAAACAACCCTGAGTAAGCTGATCACACCTGTACACTAATAACAGGAACAACCCTGAGTAAGCTGATCACACCTGTACACTAATAACAGAAACAACCCTGAGTAAGCTGATCACACCTGTACACTAATAACAGAAACAACCCTGAGTAAGCTGATCACACTTGTACACTAATAACAGAAACAACCCTGAGTAAGCTGATCACACCTGTACACTAATAACAGAAACAACCCTGAGTAAGCTGATCACACCTGTACACTAATAACAGGAACAACCCTGAGTAAGCTGATCACACTGTACACTAATAACAGAAACAACCCTGAGTAAGCTGATCACACCTGTACACTAATAACAGAAACAACCCTGAGTAAGCTGATCACACCTGTACACTAATAACAGGAACAACCCTGAGTAAGCTGATCACACTTAATAACAGAAACAACCCTGAGTAAGCTGATCACACCTGTACACTAATAACAGGAACAACCCTGAGTAAGCTGATCACACCTGTACACTAATAACAGGAACAACCCTGAGTAAGCTGATCACACCTAATAACAGGAACAACCCTGAGTAAGCTGATCACACCTAATAACAGGAACAATCCTGAGTTAGCTGATCACACCTGTACACTAATAACAGAAACAACCCTGAGTAAGCTGATCACACCTGTACACTAATAACAGGAACAACCCTGAGTAAGCTGATCACACCTGTACACTAATAACAGAAACAACCCTGAGTAAGCTGATCACACTTAATAACAGAAACAACCCTGAGTAAGCTGATCACACTTAATAACAGAAACAACTCTGAGTAAGCTGATCACACCTGTACACTAATAACAGAAACAACCCTGAGTAAGCTGATCACACCTGTACACTAATAACAGAAACAACCCTGAGTAAGCTGATCACACCTGTACACTAATAACAGGAACAATCCTGAGTTAGCTGATCACACCTGTACACTAATAACAGGAACAATCCTGAGTTAGCTGATCACACCTGTACACTAATAACAGGAACAACCCTGAGTAAGCTGATCACACCTGTACACTAATAACAGGAACAATCCTGAGTAAGCTGATCACACCTGTACATAACAGGAACAACCCTGAGTAAGCTGATCACACCTGTAGTAAGCTGATCACACCTAATAACAGGAACAACCCTGAGTAAGCTGATCACACCTAATAACAGGAACAACCCTGAGTAAGCTGATCACTGACCTAATAACAGGAACAACCCTGATCACACCTGTAAGCTGATCACACCTGTACACTAATAACAGGAACAACCCTGAGTAAGCTGATCACACCTAATAACAGGAACAATCCTGAGTTAGCTGATCACACCTGTACACTAATAACAGAAACAACCCTGAGTAAGCTGATCACACCTGTACACTAATAACAGAAACAACCCTGAGTAAGCTGATCACACCTGTACACTAATAACAGGAACAACCCTGAGTAAGCTGATCACACCTGTACACTAATAACAGGAACAACCCTGAGTAAGCTGATCACACCTAATAACAGGAACAACCCTGAGTTAGCTGATCACACCTGTACACTAATAACAGGAACAACACTAATAACAGGAACAACCCTGAGTAAGCTGATCACACCTAATAACAGGAACAATCCTGAGTAAGCTGATCACACCTGTACACTAATAACAGGAACAACCCTGAGTAAGCTGATCACACCTGTACACTAAT